CTGTGCGAATTTTAAGAAGTTGAGTGAAATTGTCTTCTTTGATCCGCTATTAACAAAAAACTTCTGCACAATATAGTCCTGATTATTCAGCCTAGCAACGTCATTCATACAGGTGCAGTTTACCCTTTCTTTTCATTTTCTTTTGAGCATTTCTAGAAACAGCAACACTAGACATAAGTAATCCATCAATCACATCTCATGGTATCTTGGTAACTTTTCTCTATACTGTATAGCTTGGGTCAGAATGAAGTAGCCAGGAGCATTTCTTATTTGTGGTAACTTTAGTTTGTTTTCCAAAGGGTGCAGAAAATAAAGTTGTCCTTCATTAAATACATGTTAGCAGGAAAAGCAGACTAAGCGGCAGACGATTTACGTCTATTCTGATCTGGAACATGAGTTAGGATGGGCTTACCTCTTGGCAACTTCACCCGTACTGAAAAGTGTGCTTAAGTGTCCTTCTGTGTACAGTACAACCAGGTTTCTTGTCCCAGCATGGATTGTCCATTTTTATGCTTACACATTACAGCAGAAAACCTTGGCATTCGGGTAGGCAAATGTTTATTATGAAGTACAGGTAGTATTTTAAAGAGAGCTGTATCTCTGGGTCAGAGGTTCTCTGCCATATCTGTCAAAAACTAAGTTCAGTCAAATGAGAAAGCCCTGCTCATAGTGCCTCATTAGCTTGGCATTGGTTTGCAGGACCGTGTGCCACCATGGCCCATGTTTGTTCAGGAGAGCTGTTGCACCAACAGTGATGCAACTGATTACTCTGACAGCCTGAAGAGACTTGCAAGAGGATTAACACTGGAGAACAGAAAATGCACTTGGCACAAATGATCTCATTAGAATAGATTTATTTATGGAAATATGACAAATTTGAAGGTGTCACTTATATGTGATAGGTTGCTTCAAGAGCGCAACACATTTAACATATATGCTCTGTGAAGGATATTCAGGACCAATGCATTTAATGTGGTGGTGAAAATTAATAAGATTTGAAGAAAAAAAAAAAAAAAGAAGACAAATAAGAGCCAAGGTTAGATTGCATGTATTTTAGAAGCTGTGTCTGTTGACTCTAAAAGCTGTAACATTGGTTAAAGGGATTTTGAGCTTGTGTGCAGGAAGATAAAATGTCAACAACTTGCAGAAGTCTGAAATATTAGAGTGACATTAAAACAACTTGATTACACCTCACAAGGTCAATGTGACTTTTCACAAAACATTTGTTACAATGTCCAGAAATCTGCTGAACAACCAGATTCAAGTATTTCCTCCCACAACTAGCCCACTGTGACTGGAAAAAAAGAAGAAGAAAATCAAAGTACAGTGTCTTGCGCAGTTTACTAGCCAAAAAGACAAGTGGCAAGTGGCAGAAGTTGGATTCCTTTATCTTGTAGTCAAAGGGAAAATAATGGGAGGACATGTCCTGTTGCACTTACTGCACAGTAGCTTGTTTTTGCACTCTGCAACTGAAACAAGAGACATGATCTTGATCTTCAGGGTAAACCTGATCTCCACAGAGACCAACACAGAGGTGATAAGCACTGAGCACTTCAAAAATACAAACCTTGCAAGACAATTAAGATCATGTCCAATTTCATAACATTGTGATAGAGCTGGTCTGTCAGCACCACAATTAGCCACATGTAAATGCAAAACCAAGAGTCTGTGTCAACTCTGCTAAGCGATCCCTCACCACAGACAGAGTCAGAAATATCCCAGGAGGTGAGAGCTGACTCAACAGCTTGAAGCTCCCTTACTGTCAGCAGGGACTTCAAAGGTACTGAAGTACAGGGCCCACTGAACTGCTGTTAAGATTGAGAGCGTGGATCTCATTTTAAGGAAGAGCCTGTTGAAACTTAACAGGAGAGCTATGTTTCATGGAAACATCCCACCTAACATTAAGAGAACAGTACAAAGTATTATGACTGAGCACCATAAACGTCAGCGTTATAACCTTAACTCTGCCCCTTGGTCCATCACAGTACCACTTTGGGAGGGCACATTTTAGGATACACAGCTGACTGTAAGGAAATCCTGGAAAGCCTGTAGCTTCCATTGACATGTGTCTTAAAATATTTCCCCCTGAGTCTCTCAAACTGATCCCAAGCCAGCGGTCCCTCCCCACCTAAAGCAGCAGCCTTTCTCTTCTGATACCCGTTTCTTGTGGAGTCCAAGGGAGGGGAAATTCTGCTGCTGCTCTGTGAATCCCCTAGGTATTCTGAGAAAGACTTTTATAAAATTTACTATCAGCTAAGCATTACCTGGTTCATGTAATTCCTGGAGGCTGTGGGAGGTGAGAGTTCAGAGAACAGCTATGCCTCTACTACCGTGAGACTATATCTTTTTCCTGCTCCAACAGGCAGCAGGAATGTGGCACAAATGTTCTCCTTTCACTGTTGTTAAGCTGTGGCCAAGAATGCTACAACTGTAAACACATCAGCTTAATCAATATTAACTGAAATTGCAAGAATAATTTCCACCGGTTAAATAAAAAATGCTTTCACTTCAGGTGAAGGCCGGCATTTCAACCACAAAGTTGATGTCAGTTGGTTGTTCATCATTTTGTCATATTTTAATTCTCTGTTATAACTGGCTTATGTATTTTTGAAAAGAAAAAAACAAACTAGAAATTTCACCTGTTCTTAGTGGTGAGTATTTTGCTGTACGGCTCCTGACATTTGAATGTACATATAGCCTACCTGAACAAGAACCTTAACAGAAGAACTATGCCCAGTTCCTCATCAACCATTAATAATGTTATGGTTAACCAGTACCTGAGCACTGTATCATAAAGTAATGTGCTGATTTTGACTCTTTGTAGACTGCAGATCCTCATTATTTGAAAAAAAAGGTTTTATGTAGGTGGCTATCTCCATTAATGAAGCTATTAAAATCTATTTAGCTTTTTCTGGAGGGTACTTTATCTCATTACTGTTCTCTCAACTTAAAGAATAAAACAAACAAGCAAAAACTACAAATCCAGTCTCATTGTTTGCAGTGTCATGATGAGTTAATATCCTGCTCGCCAGAAAGTGAGCAGTGATGCTAATGCTTCTGGTCGGGCATGCTCTTTGCCTTCGTCTAAGGGCGGAGGGGAGGAGAGGGGGAGGAACTCTAATGTTCATTAAAGACACGCATCACTGTCACAAGAGAACGGCAAGTCTTCACACCTCTCTGCCTACACCACAACAGCAATGGCCCACCGTGGTCCTCACATGCCAGCAGCAAGAAGCTTTTGAATGCAACTTGCCTTTGTAGGCAATCCTGCATTTGAAGGAGAGGCCAAAGCTGTGCTGTTGACTCAGACAGCACTGCCCATAAACTGGTAGTGTAGCACATGTGTGAGGATTTCCAGGGCTCAGGCCCAACATAGTTGTTCCTCACACAGGATTTCACTCAGCCATGTCAAGCGAGATGCTACCACACACCAACTTGTTTTGCCATCTGAACACTGCTGGAAGCAGACTGAGATCATCTTTCCTCATTAGCTAGGTCATTGAATGCCTAGCCAAGTTATCGTGCCGTGTTATAACATGCACACTTCAATGCTTAATCGCTTCTGACCAATAGCCTTCAAATTACAAAACTAAGGACAGATGCCAAATTTTTAGTTTTCTTTGCTGAAAAATGCCCCAAACACATGTTCTATGATACTTGGCAGTCTGAACGTGCACCAGGTCATTTACTCAACACTGAGATGGATTGGCAGCTCTAAGAGAAACGCCCAGACATTCCTGTTCATTTCTTGCCACTTTGCAGGACTCTGGGGGATGACTGTAATCCAAGAGAGGACTCATAAAACCAGAAAGAGGAAGAAATAAAGGCCAGATACACTGGGGAGCCCATGAGACCAGAGAACAAGCTGTTTTGCCAATGACTCGGAAGTAACCTCCTACCTTAGGAGGCATTATATTGGGTTTTTTTTAGGGGGCAGGATTTGAATTAATGAGAGAATTGGTGGCTGTAAATAATAACATTGCTATCTGGGAATTTGTGTAGTCAAGAAAACCAAACAATCTATGAATGCTCATAAAAATTGATAGCCGCTGAACTGAAGCAACATAGAACTTGGTGAGTCAGATCTCCAACGCTTTTGTCCGTAGCAGGTGCAGGTGCTGGCGCAGAGGTGGGACTCGGCAGCTGCCAGGGATGGGGCAAGCTGACAGCTGGGTTCAAACCTGGACATCACCAACAAGCCTGAGAGAGAGAAAACAAATATGCCAAAGTGGTTTTAAATGAGATGATTTGTTAGTGATATCAATCAAAAAAAGACAATTTGACACACAACCACTCTCCTCCTCTGGTTTCTGAGGCAAAGCCTTTGTGTCTGCAGTGCTATATTTTAGCATAGCGTATTCTGCATCAGTGCAAAATTGCGTGCCAAGGCCCTTCCCTTTGTCCTGCCCTTCTTCCGCTTCTGGTGAGATTTCAACCTATATGGATAAATAGTGTTTTAGAGATCAGACCTGCTCAATCCTTGTTTCCTTCAGTGCATGAACTCAGAAGGAACAGCATCACACACATTGTTACTTTATTAGATGACCTAGGTGGAAGCTGGAAGTGCTGCTGGAGGCAGATGGGGGGAAATACGACACAAATCTGTAGAAATTCAATATCCATTTATTCTGCTGCTCATAGAGCAATGTGCTTACCTGAGACAACACTTCCAGTGAACTTAAGCACCAGGTTCTGCTTTGTAATGATGGCGAGACCTAACAGCAGAATTTCACTGTAACATTCTAATGGTTAAACAGGTTCTGTTTCAGAAACCAGAAGTATGACAAGAATTATTATGATTAGTGAGTGTTGTTATACTGCCTGTTTCCTAGATGTGTTGTAGCTAATTTTAGCCAACGCATCAACTCTTCGTGTAGTCACATGAAAACACACCAGTCTATGAGGAACGTGCACAGCTACAAGCTGGGCACATTAATTTTAGATGTCTGCAAAAGTGGCTGATTCCCTTTAAGGACCCCCTCCTCTCTTCTGCCCTCCAGATTGGCCTGAAAAGCTGTGATCACAGAAAGTACTGCTCAGGGACCGGGAGATGCGGGTCCTCACTGAAGGTATGTTCAAACGCTGTTGAGCTCTTAATTATCGTGTTGTAACACGGAGGAAATTGTTGCAAGACAGAGTCTCAGTTTTAATGACATGACCATGCAGCCCATACCCCGAATCCAGCACAGGGAAGCGTTTGCAGAAGCTGGGTTAGGCATCTCAACATAGCCCAAGATTACCACCCAGGGAGGAGAGCAGAAATAACAAGAGTCAGACATGCAGTCATTTTGGCTGAGCCCTGAATCCTTCATTCATTCCAAAGACAACTTCGTAGATGACTAAATGACAGGTTTGCTTTTGAGATGCAGCGATTACTTCTGAATTGAAGGAATGGTACCAAGATTGATAAACTTGCCAACCACTATTTAGGTGGGCTCCCAGGGAGATTGTAGTACTGGCCTAGGGGAAAACCCACTTTTTTGATACTAATGATTAGGGTGAGTTCCTGGGTGATGCTACAAAGGTTGCCTCGCAAGCATGCAACAGTGCTACAGTCACCAACAGATAGGAGTTTCTGGATGACTCTTCAGTGACCATTGCAGTTGGATCTCACCAGCTGTGGATGAACCAGTGGCCACTGTCACCCTTTGTCACAGTTTGAGGACAAGGCAAGATGACTGAAAACAGGGGGCTTGGAAAAGGGGATGATTGCCTGGGTCTGTCTAACACCGAAAACCTCTGCTTTGCTGACATTCATGCTGCTATACCACGTATTGCTGAGTCCATTGGCGTGATTCTCACAGATGCTCAGACTAAAATTGACCACTACAGCCACTCAGGCTGCACGACCGCACAACCTGGGCCTCAGGGTTTAACCCACAACCTTGCCTCTGCTGTCTTTCCTGCGGGCTGGGAGCATATCAGGACAGTCCTGAGTGAATGGTGACTTTTTTTTCCAGCTGAGGTACATCAATGTGAGAAAGCAATCAGACACAAGAGTTCTCATCAGGTCACCAGTTAGGGTAACATATCATACAGGTGCTAGCCAGTCTGCGTGTGTTGTTCTTTGTCTAACTTCATATTTTGCATCTTACAGTAGTCTGGCCAGTCAAGGTGGGAGGCATCTCACCTGACATCAGATGTCTCCATCTGAGCTGTCCTTTGTCATCAGCTGAAGAGAAGTAGGTACTTGTAAGGCATGAGTCATCTGCCCTCTCAGATGTCTGCATTGGCGTGAGATGACTCACTCTCTTCCCAGTGACTACAAAGGAAGTTCAAACCAAGCTCAGATAAAGACATTTATGTTGTAAGGTCTAAAGTTAGATGAGTCGAGGTGTGTCAATGGCCCAGTCTCACTCCTGATCTGTCATTTCTAAATAAAACAATACATTTGCCCTGCGAATGATGTCTAATGCCCACCTACTTAAGTGGGCACTCTCAAACTGGAAATAGCCCAGTTTCAAATAGTGTTTAAAATATCTTATGGAAATGCCTCCTGTCCCTGGCTTCTGTTTAACCAGCTTCTATCTTTTTCTGCTGCTTCACAGTCATGTCTCCCCATTATTTTTTAAATTGTACTTCTCCAGCCTTCTTCTACTCCCAGTGAGCTGCTGCGACACTAAATAAGGATGCAAGGAGTGGACACAGCAAAGAGAGAAGCTAAGACATGCCACTAATTCTGCCAGCTGTATGAAATAAAGTGATTACCCAAGGGATTTTTTTTTTTTTTTCAAATCTAGTCTTTTTTATTTCTCAAAAAAATTAGTAGTAACTTATGACAGCAATACAGACTTCTCCAACAGAGTATCTTAGTAGGCAGTGTCCCTTTAAATTAGACTTTTCTAATCCAATAACTAACTTCATCAAGCAGCCAAAATCAATGCTTTGTATTAGACATGGACCCAAACCCATTATTCAAGCACGTACCTCCCTTCAGCTTTTATCTCCCCTCGAGGGTTTTCATAGTAAAGCAGGCTTTTTTTTTTTTTTTTTTTTAATTAGCCCTTCTGCCCTCGAGTCTTCTATTTGATTTTCCAGTATCCAGGGAAGTTGGGTTTTTTTTAACTACTCAAGCCTTGAATAGAAAATTTGCCTCTTAGTTCTTCATTACCAGTGATAATAAAGCTTCATGGAAGACATTCCAGTGATGCAGAGACAGAAGCGCACAAAGGCAAAGCAACACTTCAAAGGGGCATTAGCTCTGATATCGGAATCTCATTCATCTAACTCACTCCTAAAGGACCAGTTAACAATTCACAGGAGCACAGTTCACACATATACATCAAATGGCATGAAAGGCCCTTCGGTTCAGCAGAGCTGCCTGATCTCAGTGCCCTTGAGTGTGTGGAGCTTTATGAGTGTCCTTGCTGTATTTTTATTTTTCCTTGACTTCATTTGGTTTCATATGGACAACCGACCACTTGCTTAGCTGTTCCTGTGTGTGTTGTGGAGGACCCAGAAATGACTGTACAAGGAGTACAGTTATTGTACGAGGAGCAATCTGCATGTTTGCAGTCTTCCCATGTATGCTGAGCAACCTGTGACCACTCACCGGCCAGCGACATGACTGCCCAGGAGTACACCTCTGTATCATGAATGCTGTGCCTTTGCTGTTTAATCATGGTGTACCTCAATGTACACATAATCAATGTGTAGCTAATCAGTGTACATATATTCAATGGGCATGAGTATGTGTATCGTGGCTTGTCTTATCCACTGGAAATATTGCATTAACTGTAATTTTATTAATGAAGTAAGGGCATCGGAGCGTATTGGCCAAGGGACTCCTCAAAGCCAAGTCTACATGCTGGACTCAACTGCTATCAGCGACTGGTGAATCTGTATCATGAGCATCACCCTGTAAGAGCACTTGTGAGCTCAGAGCAGCTCAGAGGGGCTCATCCCAGCGTCCCATCATTGAGGCAGAGGGGCTTATCCCAGTATGGGCTCATCCCAGTTCGGGCTCATCCCAGTATGCCATCACCGAGGCAGAGGAGCTCATCCCGTGCTGCAGCAGCCGGGGTCCCAGCGGCAGAAGGGCTGTAAGATTGCTATCGCCGTTTCTGTTATTTCCATCCCTTGCACAATAAACCCGTGAGCCAGCCTTGAGTGCTGGTGTAGATGTTGCACCTCTGTGGTGCAAAACAGTGTGGTGCTGAGCTGGGTCAAATAGACACACCCTCGGTAATTTCATGTTCTGGCAGGTAACTAATGTATCTGTCTCCTTCCCTTTACCAAAGGCTTATTTCTGTGCTTAGCTGGCAACTGCCAAAGTCTCCACACCTTGCTGAAAAACTGGGATGTGGAAACTGAGACGGAGAAGCTAAAGCTTTCAGCAAGAGAGAAGCTCAGGAGCCAGCACGAGTGGGAGCAAGGCCTTTGGTGAAGTTTTACCTCTGTTGTTTTCAAATTAGGCACCATTCCGTGAAGAAAACTCGATGCAAATTGCCAGCAAGTTGTTTTCTGGAGCACAAGGCAGTTTCAAGCAGTAACTTCAAAAGGAAACTGTTCTCCTTTTAGTGAAAGAATAGCTCTGCAACCTAAAAGTAGGCATTTAAATATCTATGCAAATTATTTCACTCACTGATCATTTTGCTGCTGCTAATGAGTTCATCCATATATTCCCAAAATCCCCAAAGCCTTCAAACTTCAATGTTGCACACTTTTGCAGAAAGCCACAATAGCAGATGAAAAACTGCATATGTTGAAATAGTGTGAAGGAACTGAAATGGCCTGATATAGCTGTCAGACAGAATGTTTTGCCTTACTTTCTTGGTCCAATAGGGTAATTTTCAAAGTTAATTGCTTCTTAGTGTATGCCTGACAGAAGCGAGCTGCAGACCACTACGGAGGGCTCTGAATTGTGTATTAATTTTCACACTTACTCTGTATGTTTTCATATTTAAATCGGGTTGCCACAGAATCCCTGATCCGTCCTGCCAGGGGGCTCCCGACAAAAGGAGACTTAGGGCAGATCTTAGCACCCTCCTACGCGCCTCATGGGTTTGGAGATACGGTTTTCTTCATTCCTCATCCCCAGCATGGGAGAGAATTTCCCCTGCAGTTGTGCGTGCTCCCCTGCCACGCATTCCTGCAGGGTCCACGCACGTGGGTGGGCTGGCCCCACAGGCAGATGGTTGGCTTTGCAGCACCCCACATGTACCTATTTCTCTTTCAGCTCTCTGTTGGGACTCAAGGAGCTGTGGCTGGGAAGAGGAGGATCACAGACCAGCTGTGCTGTGCTTCAGCCTGCTGTAGGGATGTCCATGCTCAGGGGAAGGCCTGGCTATCTTTTCCTTGCCTCTCAGTAGCCCGTCTGGCTCTAGGTACACTAAGCCTACAGGCCCACCCTTGAAATCTTTTCACAAGAAGTATCAATCTGCAGCAAACCACCTGCTTTTTGGCCGCTTTCTATGCTTTTCTGCACAGAAGTGACTTGAGCAAACACCTTAGCCTTCAGCTGGCAGCAAGCAGAGCAGCCTACAAGGAATATGGACTGAAGCACCGGTCTTTGTGGCCAGGTCCACCTTGCCTCACGGCCACCCTCCAGACCTGATTCCCCTGCAAGGGCATGGACTTAGCTCTCCACAGCTGGTGGGAGTCCGTGGCGTGCCTGATACGCCGAGGCACGTGGGCACCAGGGGCTGCCCACACGCCTGTCACCCACAGGTGGGCACGCCATCTCAGCTTGTGCTATGTTCCATCCTCAGAAAGAAGGTATCTCTTTGTTCTCCGTTTTTTCCATGGGTTGTCAGGTTAATGGTGGATTTTAGCACGTTGCCTCATCCGTGTGTGTTTCTGGTGAGTACAGTAGGCCAAGCCAGGCTAATTCATGCTGTACTGGAAAGTAACTGGAAATCCCCGGAGTGGAGTGTCCCTGGTGCTTGTTCCAGCCTGTGCTGGGGGTTCCCAACCCCTCTGACCTGACACCTTACCTGCTCGTGTGAGCACTCGCAACCATGGTCAAGTCCAACCAAGGCAGTTTATTGTCATAAATCAGAGATCTTTGCTAACATAAGGAGGACGTAGGGACACAGGCTTCATAAATGTGTGAGCCAAGGATTCTGTGTGCTCCATGTTCTGAGGCTGGCCGGCTGACAACCTGCTCAATATTCTGCTCTTAAAAATATGTGCCATGAATGGCATTTTTGATACAGATGATTTGCTTGGGACATTGCTAGATGGCTGAAAGAGACGTTTCCCTCTGTACCCAGACCTTAGTTAAGAGCATGCTAAACATGCCAGGTATGCAAGGTATTAAAAACAAATACTTAATTCTTATGAACTGTTTAGATCATTAGCACATCTAAAAGCGCCTCAGGAAACAGGACTGCCTCAAGCCTTTAGCCTATATTTCTGCTCCAAGGCAAAATCAATTAGATGTAAAACATTTTTGACAGGCATTTTCCTAGTCTGTTCTTAGAAACCTTCAGTGACAGAGATTCAATAAGCACCCCGGGCAATCTCCACCAGTACCTCACAATGCCTAGAGTTAGGAAACTTAACCTTCTGGTCTAAGTCTCCCTTGCTGCAGTTCACTTTTTGTGAAGAAGTTCACTTCTCCTGGTCCAGCCTGTGGTGGAAGGTCTATTCCCTGCACATCAGCAGCAGCATCTTTGAGATCTGCAGTCCTCATTCTTCTCAATCTTCTGTTTTCCTTTCTCATCTCACTGAGCACTGTCCATTTGTACAGTCTTTTCTCATCAGTGGTGTTATCTAGACATCCCTCCCCTCCTGAGTCATTGCGTTCCCCTGAACTACTGAAATATATCAACTGCTTTTTTTGGTGTGCTGTTAGATGCTCCAGCAGCTCTGTGGTACTCACAGTCTCTAATGTACGACACTCGCTTATCTGTGTGGATCAAGTGCCTCCCTTTTTTTCACTGCAGCATGGTATCATCCATGCAGGTTAAACAGGGAACCATCACCCTTAGGTCTTTCTGCAGAGCTTCTGTTGGGTGGGAAGACCAAGAACTACAGAAGTAAAATGGCTAGTGCAGTCCCTCCAGATCAGAGGCAGAGGTGGGAACAGGTAAGAGAAGATTGATTTTGGAGAACTGTGTGAAAAGCAGGGAAAGGCCATGGGAATGCAAGTAGCAGGGGTTCAGAGGAAAGCCCACAAGCTGTCTGTAGGAGTTCTTGTTGTCAGAGTTGCAGCCAGTTCCCAAACCACCCTCCTACGTCCCAGCCTGGCCTGGAGCTTTCACACTTTGCTCCAGACAAAACCAAAGCAGCTATCCCAGCATTTTCAGCCTTAAGAAGTCCACGAGGTGATGAAGGCTGTACAATGTCACGCTAAATGGGGACCTTGGGTCACCCAGATACACGCCTGGAGCGGCATATGGGTGGTTTTCTGCCACGCTGGAGCAGGGTTCAGAAGTGAAACCAGCCGGCAGAGCAAACCCTGCCATGCCCCAGGGGGACGTCAGCCCTGGCTCGCGTCAACAAGCAGTGGTCCAGTCAGGTAAGCTGCCCTCATTGAAAGCCAGATCATTTGGAAATGAGAAAGTTCGGGTTTGAAGAAAGCCACCTTTTATTTCCCCTTAATGCCCTATTGTTTGTCAGGCTCTGACAATGCTGGATCCCATGTGCACAGCATCCGTGTCGGGTCGGAAGGCGTACCCTGGTGAAAAGATGCACAAGGCTGTCATCTTGGCTGCGGAGAGACAAAAGCTCCAGGAGGCACTGCTGTGGGGAGCAGAGGGGACGTGGGGCCTTGCAGCTGTCACGCTCCGAGTGAAGCTCCCTATTCACTCACCTCCTGCCATCCGCGCTCATCGGGGCTCCAGATATTTCCCCCTCCCTCTCCTTATCACTGATGAGCCCCCAGGGAGGCTAATGCCATACCCTCTCCTCTGCAGCATGAACAAGAAGCTGTTCTGAGCTCAATTTAGTAGGAAGCTTCACACCACTAATCAGAAAAGATCCAGGGTTTGGTTGGGGCTTTGTTGTCTGTTTTGTTGCGGGTCTGCAGCGATGAGCTGGCTCTCGTGCCCCCAGCAGGGTTAATTATTTATGAATGTTCCACAGAGACCAGGTTCTGTCGAAAAATGATTAAGCCAAATGCTCGCCGGCTGCACCGCTTGGCTGTTGTGGCAGTCGTTCTCGCTGATTGCTGGCAGAGCAGGGTACGGCCCTTATTAAAATAGGTGGACTACCTAATTGCCTCCTCTGGGAAAAAGAGGCCCTTTCCAAATCCTCACCTGCTTGGAAAATATCAAACCTAAAAAAGCTATTTATATCTATCTTAAAATACATACACAGGTATTTACATGGCTGTAGTTAATGCATACACACTAGCATGTGCACACAGGCATTAGAGAAAGGTGCTAATGATGTTTTGAGTATCTTCTGCATGGTGCGAGACAGTGGGCGGGCCGGTGCCGTGGTGGTGGGTGGATCTCACCAGGCACCACAGAGAAGACAGCTCGGTACAGATGTGCAAGGGGAGAGAGATGAGTAGCTGGTTCCCTTTGCGCCAGGCCCCGACGGATAGTCCCTGCCTTGCTGCACCGTGGTGTCATAGACCTTCTCCCAGTCTGTGGTCCCACAGGCCAGCCCCTCAGCAGGGGCATAAGAGAGGCTGATCGCTCTGTATCTGCAATATTTTGCAGTATTTGCACTCAAAAAAAAAGCAAGACCTCAGTTTACCATGTGTCCTGGAGCACTGTTACCAGTATTTTGCCCAGAGATTTCTGGGGAGGGCTAAGACTGGTGAGTGGTGTGTCCAACTCAAACCTTTATTTCCTATCAAACGCTCATACATCCTAGACACCTGATGTGGTACAATCAGTGCCCTGCTGTAGACATGGGACAGGGTGAGGATGGATGAGGCGGGGACATTGACGCAGTCACTATCTTCTGTTGTGCAGTAAGTGCTGACAACGGAGGCTCCAATATGTGATGGAGACGTATGTTGCGAGTCCATCACTCTTTTGTTATTTGAACATCAAATTTTGCTTTCCTGGATGGCAGGTCTCTCCAGTTCAAGACTCGCTGCAGCTCCTGTTCCGATGGCTGCATGCAGCTTCTCCTCTGCCACTACAAAGATAGTGGGCTAAAAAGAGAATGAGGAGGCACAGCAGCCATTTCTGGTCCTCCCATAAAACTGTTTTTCTACAAATTTACCTAGCTGAGCTAAACTTTGGGCACCCATGTCCTCCTGTGTTAAGTAACATATTTCATCACTGGGTATGTTTTGGGTGAAGAAACACCTTTCACTTATTTGAACCTGCCTCCTGTTAATTCCGTGTATCTCCTGTGTCAGAGGAGAAGGTGAAAACCTTTTTCCTGTTCTCCACCTTCGCATCACTCATAACTTTACAGATCTTTAGTATCCCCCTATGCATTTTCTCTTTCGCAGGAAAGAGTCCCCAAAACATTTATTAATGTTAAGTTTTATCCACCAATTTACTTCCTGCTCCTCTTGCAACTCTTTGCATGTGGCTTTCGTTTACACCACCTATTAACCTGAGCTTTCAGACCCAAGGAATTGGTGTATCTTGGAGACCTAGCTCGTGTACACCACAAGTGAGAGTAGAGTCCTGCTGTGTTGGAAAGCCAGTTCAAAGCAGGTGGATTTATAACTCTTCTGAACAGAAATTCCTAAAGATTTCAGAAGCAGCTAGCCCCAGTCTGCTGGCTGAGCCTTGGACCTTAAAAGAGAGAGGAGCCACTCCTGGCAGCTGATGGCTTTGGGAGAGGTGCGGGTCATTGATCAACGTGACTGGATGCGTTTTCTGCTCTGCTGTAGTGCAGGGATAGACCTGCACGAGACATGTAGGGTCTTGCCTTACTCTGGTTTTCAGAGGAAAGAGGCTCTTTCTGCACTGCCACCAGTCTATGATATTTAAAAGCCTTAAAACACTGGTAGCAAAGGGCAGCTGCCCAGGGGTTAGGTACAAAAATAATTTGGTTTTGTCCTGGAATGCAGTTCCTCTCTTCCTAGGTTTTACAGTGTCATGTGCCACCAGAGCAAAAGGAAGATGCCTTTATGAAGGCCTATAAATGAAACATTTACAAAAAAAAAAAATGGGGCAGCTACACTTAAGTGATCCGTTGCTTCTCTCTGCCCTAGACATGTCCCTTACATGCCCAAAAGATGGTTGAGGTGAACGAGGTAAATGCTGAGCTGTGAATTCCTGAGCCACCCAGCCTGTTACTAATTACCATGATTAAATATTGACACAGTGACTGCACACAGGGCTCCCAGGCAGAGATCAGTACCCCTCCATGGCGGCGGCAGAGAAATTCAGACAAAGAAACAGTTCCCTGAGCACTTACACTGCAAGACCCCAATCCATCCTACGGCTAGCATCCCCTGGGGACCGCCAGCAGATGTGAGAGCTTGCACAGCTCTAAGCAAGGGGCTGGTGGAGGTCAGGAGGCTTCTGATCCAAAATCATTGCCTTTGGGATTCCCCTTGCTGCTGCCTCCAGCAGCTGGTAGGGCGAGCGGGACGAGGCAGCACAGTGGGATCTGCTTCCCCGCAGCAAAGAAAGGTGGTCACTCAGAAGAGTAGGGTTCTGCTGCTCTGGCTGCCAACCCCGGGGCATCCTTGGGGAAGCTCCCCGACTGACCTCCCAGCCCCCCTTGGCTACCTCCCTGTACCCCTGCACAGGCTGGCAAGGCTGGTAGCTGCGTCCCCGCACACTCTCCCTCGAGCATCTTGTACCCTGCTCTTTCATGGGTCCCAGGTAAGAGATCAGGACAAAAGCCTATAAATATATGCTTGAGATCGCCCCTGTTCATGAAACCATTTAATCATACATCTTGAGTTAAGAGTGTGCTGCACAGGGATACACAGACTCACCCGACATGGGAAGATTTTGCTCAAGAAAGACTCGCCACCAGAATGGGGAAGCCTCTGGAGGCTGTAGCTCTTTCTCCCCTCCCCTCCTCTTCCCCAGCACTGCTGGTTAATGTGCTGGGCTGTGTGCCAGGGGAGCAGATGTACTACTGCATGGGTTCTCCTCCCCATAGCATGGCTGTGTCCAGGGCTGATTTTGTCCATGGTCATTTTTTAATACAGCAGCTGACTTGGCCACAAGTGCAAAATAAAATTTTGCAGAAATTGGCAATTGCAAACCACCCAAAGCCATCTGCAGCCCCGAGCTCCTCCTCCTTTGGGAACCAGAAGCAGTATCTGCAAAGCTCCCCTGTATCCAGTGTGTGCACCAGCCAAAATCCCATTTCTTCTTCATTGGATCTTCCCTCTTCATCTTTTCAAATCATATTGGTCAGCCACAGAAGCCAGGATGAGTCTGCACCAGGCTAGTACTCTTTAAGCATCAGAATATTCATGTTCTCAGCTCAACACTGCTCCCATGCTAAGGTTTTTTATGAATGCTGCTTGTTACTTGTGTTAAGAACACCCACTACTCATTGTTTGAAGCTCTAAAGAACTTCTGCTTTTTGGGCTAGAGCTTTCTTGTTCTGATGCCAGGCAGAAAAGTACTTTCCAGGAGAAACATTTAATTTCAGAAGTGATGATAGAAGTGGTAGCATTTGAGATTACGTTTTCCGGAAAACACCAAAGAAACCAGTTTGTCTATTAATACAAATTGTTGCAAGACACCAATTTCTCCATTCCCCTGGCTTCGCACTGCTGTGTCCAGCAGCTTTGCCCCGGCAGGGTGAGGGGCTGCAGCCCCCGCAGCCGAGGGGGGCCGGCCAGACCCACCCTGGCTCTGGCTCCCTCCCTTGCTCCCCCAGGAGTGGTTGGGATGGGGGGAAAGAGGGAAGAAGCTTTGCTGCAGCCCCTTTCCCCATGGGAGGTCAGAAACTGCAGAGAGATGGAGGCAAGCAGTCGGAGAGAGGACTAAGGTACTTACTCGTGGTGGGGTTTTATCCCCTTTTGGTGTAACCTGTGCTGGGGATAGCCCATGCTAGGAGCTAGTGGCAGCCCTGAAAGGCATTCACAATACCTCCTTATTTGGGATGAGGAGAGGAAAAAAACAGGACACAATGTATTTATTATCTACCCCAGATGTAATCAACAAGCTGTTAATTATCCAGCTGTAGCATATACAGCTGTAGCATACATGGCTTGTATGGGAAACCATTGTCTAAACAAAATATCAAGGATGATATTCCTTTGGCTTGTGGTTTGCCTGAGCTTTAGTGTGAGCCTGGTACCTTTCCAGTTAATCAGAGCTGAGCTGCTCCTCTTGGGGAGAAGCCTGAGCCCCCCCAGGTTTGCGGGTGGGTTAGGAGAGGGGTCAGGGAAGTTAGGTCGTGTTCCCCTCCACCTCAGACTCGTCCCCTGGCTCCAAGGGAGATGCTGGGGCTGAGGGGGTTATTCTAATTCAGACATAGGTCCCACACATCTGCCTCAATTACTTGTTTTTAGCAGCTGAGAGCTGCTCAGTGACCAGTAGCAGGAGAACTTATCCAGTAGCAATGACAGGGACAGCAATGTGGGAATTTGTAGCAAAGGAAACACACTTTGTCCTGATTTCTCCAGGTCCTCTTGTGACCTTGAGACAACCAAAAGGAGCTTCAATACAGTTCTTGCACTTTTAATGATTACCTTAATATTAGTTAATTAACACAGTTGTGAATTCAGGTACTTAAATGTTCGTCGTTGTTCATGTGTAACCACCTGCAGTTCAGGGTTAGCCACGACTCAGGACGAACATCCTTGTCCATAAACAAACAGCAGTGAAGCACATCCAGGAGGACTGACAGACCGTCATCTTAGGCAGCTTTTTGACTCGCATTTCTTGCAGCAGTGGCTTCTTCCCTTGCTATTCATTGCCACTTAGGAACATCAGCTACTGATGTGGGGCCACGAGGTGAACCAGCCTGGGTTGGAAATAACCTCGTCTGTATGGGAGGTTGTTTTTAACACAAATCAAGTCTCCAGTACTCTTTGTTGTAAGGCCTGACAAATAGTCTCACTGGCACAACTGAGAGAGCAGGGCTGGAGAGAAATCAATGGCCAAATGCAGAACGGAGTCCCACTTGAGCTAGACTGCCTCCAAAAATGTGTATGCCATCCAGGTGCTATTGTCTGCTAATGCTGCTACTGCTGCTGCTGTGCATGCAGGGGCTGCCTATTGCACACACTCTTCAAAATCCATTTTGGCAGTGTGGTGATATACGCACCCTAAATACTGAAAAACTGCAACTGCTACACGTCTGCTGAAGAGCTGAATGTGCAACAGAGAAGGCAGCAGTTCAAATGATAGTCCCAAGCCTCGCTGCTGTTGGATCCCCAGCGACTCTTTTACCTAGTTCCCATTTTCTCTAGCTGTATTCCCATTTCATTTATTAAAATGCATAACAAAGAACTTCTATCCTTATTTATGCAAATTTGCAGCCAGAACTTTAATTATTGAAAGAATAGCATTGGCTTAAGTACAACTGATCTGAATTTTCTGATGAAATGCACCCAGATTTTACTCTCCCCTTGAGAATAGCTAAATAATTGGTAGTAACTTATACCTCTACAAATCAAGTACCTATCATCCACCTGCATTTTTTTTCCCTTCTTTCTAATCACCTTGCTCTCCTGCTTTCCAGTGGAGAAACCTCAAATGCTTAAGTTTAGCCTGTAAAAGCTGTTCATGGGCTGGCACAGGGTGTGAGCTGAGACAAATGTTGTCCCAGGTTTCTGTCACTCCAGAAACCATCAGTCCAACAAAGCCAGAAGCTGGTGTTACATTAAGGCATCTACAGCATGTTCACTCCTATAAATACATCACTTACAGTGGACACCTCTGTGGGTTGTCAAGGGGCAGGTTTGTATTTATGGCACCTATTGAATAAAAGGAGGGAAAATTAATTTCCTGTTCTGAAATGACTCTCAATTTTATCAAAGGGAAAACTACATCACAAGGCTGACTAGCTGCCTGCAATTTAACATACAGAGCTTTCCTATTTAGCCATTAAACAGATTATTCTCTGCTGGATGGATGTGTCATTCCTGTTAATGTTAATGATAGTCCCACATATGCTGTGACAGAATAAATGCCAAACTACGTAAACCATTTACTCCCTAAAGGGAAATGCAACTCTTTCAAGCAATGTAGGAATCTGCCAGCAAAGTGGTGGGAGCCCAGGAAGAGTGGAGAGAGCTTCTAGGGAGGCTGGGATGTAGGGAGGTTGCTTTGCCAGCGAAGCCAGCCAAAGATGTTCCCACCCAGCCAGTCCCTTTGGGCTCTCCTGCTCCCGGGGTGGGGGGGGGGGGGTGGGGGAAGCAACTGTAAATGAGCTGCTAACACGACTGAGGTTTAAAACAGCCCTTCAGAAGAAACCAGAAACGTGGTTGCCCTCGTCGGCTTTTAACCCAGCTCGTGTCACAGTGCAGTTCTGCAGGTAGCCGTACCAGAGGCACCGGGAGCCGCAAACTGTGGCTGGAGGCCAGAAACGAGCCATTAGGGCAAAGCTGGGGAGAAAACATCCTCGGCCGGCGTGGGAGGGAGCAGGCGAGGCAGAGGATGTGGAGCCATGCCAGGGTGCCTGCCTTGGCACCACGGGGCATGTCTGAGCCCCCTCCGCACGGTGACCCCGGCTCACAGAGCTGCGGGTGAGCTCTGCCTCGGCGGCAGCTCGCCCAGGCGCCGGCTCCGGCGGGGTTCTCGCCTGAGCCTTTGCCCGGGCTCGGAGGCAGGCTGGCCGGGCTTCCTGGGCCACGGCCACGTCCCTCAAGGTGCATCCCTGTCGCCCGCCCTCCGGGGCATCTCCGGCGGTCACGGACACGTGCCAGGGCAGCATGACGGGGGACACCGTGACCCAGGAAATCCTGAAGAGGGAAGGAGAAGGCTTTGCCAGAGCATCTCTAGGAGCTCTCTGTGCAGCTGTGTGGAAAACATAGGCATGGTTCGTGTCAAGATAGAGTATGGTGTGGTAAGTGTAATTGTCGTACCCTGTGCGGATCCGGGGTGAGTTGTGATCACTGTGACATGTATAGTAAATGTAGTGAATGTTGGAATCAGATTGAGAATGTGTAAGAATAAAAAAAAAAAAAGTACCTTTAACTTGAAACACTGTAAGCACTGCTGCCTTTTAGAAACACTCCTTACACCCACCCCAGAGCTGATGCAATAGCTGTTCAGAAAAAGCCTGCCGAAAGCTGAGACCCTGAGACTTTTAAAGGACCCGAGGAGAGGAAAGCGCACCAAGAGGTCGAAACCTTCAAACTTCCAAAAGATCCACTGGGAGGAGGACACTACCCCAGCAATTCAAAGGACCCAGTGGAAGAAGAGCAGGATGACTATCTGATGGAAAGAGTCTAAGAGACACTGCTTTTAGAACTCGGGGTGCGTTGTGGCAGAGCTGAGGCTCTCCGCGCCCCCAGCGCTGCTTTGCCTATTGCTTCTCACCCTAAATTGATTAAACCCAAATAAAATTATATACTTTTTATAAAAATTGGCTTCATTCATTTATCACAGCTGTAAAGCAGGTGGTTAGACGGACAAAAAGAGCAGGAGCTGGATGAAAATCAGCTCTCAGATTCACGGATTAAGTTGAAGAGGAGAGTGGGATTTTGGTCTTTTATGAGGCTCTTGTAACCACTGAGCTATGTCAGTAAAAGCAGTTTTGACTGTGTGCTGTCTTTTCACGCAGATTTCCCTTCCTAGCAAGTTTATCAGTAAACAAGCCCAGCAGCACTACTTAATACCCTGAGTGCTAACTTGCCAGGGGATCAGAGCCACTCCGGAGGAACTAAGCTTGTCCTGCCCAGCATCTTCCCAGGGGATGCAAACCCAGTGCGTACCCCCAGTAACAGCCCACCTGCAGACCTGGAATACTTCCACCCCTTCCACCCCCTGTACTTTGCTACCAAACAAGTATTTCTTTACTTTAAGAAATAAAGAAGGTACTTGCATTTCTGAGCTAGCCTTCATGGTGTGAATGTACGAACACGTCACATGGTGTTGAAGGAATGCAAGCACAGCAGAGAATGGAAATTAAAGCAGGCTTTTGCTGCTCCCACATGGAACCAGTCACTGGATCAAGTTGTTTCCTCCCCATGTAGGTTTTTCTTCCATGGGTGAGTCCAGCCTAATTCAGATGGAGCCTGTCATATGGTACCAATAGGATGTGAAAGAGAAAATAACCAGGAGGGTCCACATTGCACACCTGGCAGGTCAAAATCTGCAAGCCCTGTTCGGTTTCTCATGTTCTCCTGTTTCTCAGGGACTGCTGGAGACTTTGCAGAGTCCTGATGTGCTGCTGTGGCCAAGACAGCTCCAGAAGCAACATTGCTGCTTGCTGGTTGCAGGCAGTGGCTCCTGCCGGTGTGTTTGACCTGCTCTTCTGGCTGGCTGTGGCTTGCTGAGCCACAGGCCTGCTCTGCCAGCCTTTGCTGGCTACAGCTTGCTGTAGCAGTAGCAGCAACTGCAGCTGAGAGAGGGGAAGAGGACAGAGGACCTTTCAAAGGGGACTTCATGGAGAAATGCCCACCTTAGCCAGGAGGGGCTGTGCTGTTTGCCAGGGAAGCCGTGAACCGTGACCAGTCCTTGGGCTCGACAGTGGAGGTGACAGTAGAGCACATAACTCTGAGAGCCTGGTTGCCCATTCAGAAGCATGTGGCCAGCACTGCCATGAAACCCACGGGTCCAGCTACAACTAGCCAGCGCTGCCCAGCTTCATCTGTGCCGGCTGGCTGCTGGGCAGGTGAATAATGGTTGCCTACTCTGTTGCTACCACATGTTGTAAGACTCACGGGTCATCAGCAGTAGTGGTCACTGATGGTTAGGACTGCATGGGAGCACCACAGGACAGCCCCATTCTCCTTCCTGCTCTCCACACTGTCCCTCAGTGGTCACCTATAAAAACAGCATTTTTTTCACTGTGCTCTAGCATGTTTACCAAGGCAAAATGAGCTCGATTTGGAGACATTCAGGCTGCTTGAAATTTTTCAGGATTTCTCATCTGTTTTCTTTAATGTAAAAAGCTCATTTGCCAGCATAGCTAATATGGACATTGGTGATATCAGCAGTCTTCCCCTTCTCCTTGGAAGCCCTTCTCCTTTGTTATCATGGCTAATGAATCATTTTACAGGATATTGGGATTGTAGATTAACACTACTGAAGCACTGCTGCTGGGTAAGTGTGGTGCATGTATTTTGAGAAATTAAGGGTAGATGATGGGCGCTGACTGGCAGCTTTACCCTGCTGAGCAGCAGCTGCAAAGAGAAAAGAGACCAGAGGTTCAGGGACCAGCAAGATCCCATGAGCTGCCCATCAGACATGCTGGTTTCAGTGGTAGTAGTCAGAAACGTGTTATTCATGTCTTCTGTGTAATCTGCTTGCGTGTCTAAATGTCCAATACAACAGCTCATGTCAGGCCACTGCAGGTGACGGAATGGCAGCATTTGGTCACTTTGCTTCCGTTGTATTAACTCTCAGCATCATCATCCCATTAATTCTCAGCCCGTGGCCCGGGTGAGCCCAGGGACCTGCAGGCCTGGGCAGGCTCCTTGTCTGTGGGCAAGGCTTGCCACACACATTGTACAAACAACCCTGCCACAGGGCCGGTGGGAGGAAAGAAATTTTATTAGGGAGGAAAACAGGATTTTTATTGTTCTGAAAGAACAGTCAGTGGTGAAAACACCAATGGCGTGGTAACACATACAAGTTTGTGAACAGGGACGTGGTGACAAGCTGTGCAAAGGGTACAGGGGACTTTAGCCATGGAGCTGTAGAGGTGCCTCGCACAGCAGCAAGCAGCCCTTTCTGTCTGGTGTGCTGGCCGGCTGGGTGTGGAGCACTGTGGCAGCAGGTTGGTGCTTAGTCACGAGGATTTTGGGTGCTGCCAATGCTCTTTCCGCAAAGGCAGAAGCTGAGTGACAGGGGAGGGGGCCGAGCGTGGGCTGCAGGTCCCAGAGCCCACGATGGCTGGTGCAGGACCAGGCTCAGAGCACCTCACTGGCTGACAGTGAGGAGGAAGAAGAGGTCCAGGGATTGCTGCTCAGGGGCACTTGCTACGGCCACGTCTGCCTGCGTATTTTTCCATCAGATGCCGCTACATCTCCGCGTCCATTTCTGTTGCCTGCTCTGGCCGAACCAGGCTGCGCTCAGCTCTCACCAGGCCTTCTCCAGTCCCATCGCAGATCAAACCGATCCCCCTTCTCCACCAGTCCCTTGCTGCGACGCCCTCTTCCTGGTCTCAGACCTCTTACATCTCCTCTTTACCATTCCCTTTCCTTGTCTCAGGTATGTCGCCAGCTCCTGAACCACAGTCCACTCTGAGGTGGGGTCTGTGACCTCCCCGGTGCCTCCTCCTTGGCTCCTTTGCCCCACGCTGCAGCTGGCTGGCCCGAGGTCGATGCCGCTGTTCCTCTGGGGCTGACTGTGCCAGCATTGCCCCTGCGAAGCAAGAGAAGTAACAAGCTGCTGTTCATCGCTGGTTTCCACAGTAACAAAGATGGCTTTTTTTTTTTTCCCCCCCCTCCAAAAGCACCACCCCACCCCACCCCCCAGTTTTGAGATCCTATCTCCACCATTTCTTATGCTTTTCTGAGGACCCCAGAGGTGGTAAGTCTACCCTCCCTGTTTCCCTCAAGCTCTTTGTCTGCTGATGCATGAAAGCAGGTTCCTGGAGCTGGTGGTACCCGCCTTTGCTGATCTGCTGCCGCACTGCAATCTGTCTTTGACAAGGGACGCTGCATGGGGGCAGTTATCTAATTAACTGCTCCTGTGTGCTTGGGAGGGTTCAGGCTGATGAAGCCCAGTTAGGGATTGCATTACCGGTTCTGCAGGTAGTGCCCTCCTTCCCTTTTTTGGAAGACCTGACCAAAAAAACTGCACAAAGACTAAAAAAATTTAGCAAGAGTGTTGCTGTGATAGTTCCCAGAAAGGTGCCTCCTGCTACCCTGCAGAGCTGGAAGAACACGCACCCCTGCACTGGGACTAGGGGGAAGGAGGTTCTGCCGCACAGTTTGAGAAGCCTCAGCAAGTAGTTCATTATCCCACTTCCCCTCTTCAGCTCATGGCTTTTTCTATCCATAAAACTGTCTTGCCCTCAGGCTCAGACATTTCACGAAGGTGAAAAAGGATCCGTGGGTCTGTGCTTTGTAATTTAGGCTTTGCATAAATAATTTTGTTGCAGTCTGCTACAATGACTTCAGAAAGCTCAAGAAGGTTCAAAACCAGAGCTGAATTAATCAAGGTTAAGGCATACACTTTCTGTAGCCAGTGGCACATGGAGGAGAGACGTGACCGGCATCATGGTTGATCACCCTAAGCGCTGCAGCTGGAAAGTCCATCGATTGCTGGGTGACCCAACAGCAGCTTTTGTCATGAGGCAGAAGCGGGGCACAAACTCACATGCTCCCCTCCCACAGCTCTGCGCTGCCACTCCCCATTGCTGCTACATGACTCACAGGCAGTTCAAAACCTTCCTTGATTAAGGTTGTGCAGAAGCAAAAAGAAATACAGCAAACAAGAAACAATAGAGTAATTAAAACAAACAAACAAACAAACAAAACCAAAAAACTTAAAGAAGAGCTAATATAAAAATTTCCTAACTTTTATTAACCAAAAGGGATGGCGTGGTGGGATAAAAACTGGCACTGATTTTCTGTGTGAATAGCAGCATTTCCAGTACAACATGTCCTCCTGAAGGAAGCCTGCAAGGCTCGGTTCTCATCAAACGCCTTTGCTGGAGCTGAGCGTATGGTCCTTAAGGACGCAGAGGAAAATGGAGAGCAGTGCTTAGAGGGTGGCCAGCTACACGATAGGGAAAAGGGCAGCCCACAGTCCTCAGGATGGTGACCAGGAGAAAAACTGGGGAGAAAGGGACATATTTTGCCAACTGCACTCCCAGTTATTTAGCCTGCAGCTGTAGCTGGGGAGAGGGCAAGCGGTATGTAGGGCAAATGCAAGCTCACATCCACTCAAGGTAACTGATTTTCTCATTACTGAGAAATGCAGTGCACATGCTGACAGCGCCCTGCAGGCAAACACAGAGCTGGTTTCGGGTGTCCCAGCTGGGTCTGCCTGCTTTCTGCAAGGCCAAATGTTTCCAGGCAGCAGGAATTAGGGTCTTGGTTGGGAGTCCGGCCCCCGGGTTGCTAGCAGATGCAGGGTAGGACTCGCCACTCATCATCTCCTCAGCACCCTCCTTGCGCCAAAGCTCTGCCCCTCTCCTGGTACTGTGGAAAGCTGGCTGGACACGGAGTGGCCCTCTGAGCCCAGCTCGTCAGCCTCAGGTCATCTGAGTGTGGCCCAGCTTGGGTGCCTCACACCACCGCTCCAACCCCAGGAGCCGAGAAGGTCCAGGGGAAACCCAGCCCTGCCTCCGGTCCTGGGCAGGGGTGACAGGTAAAACAAGTGCCCGTGCGAGGCGGGTTGGGACCGCAAGGCCCTGGGCAGGCAGGGAGGTGGCTGAGACCAGAGCGGCACGAGGAGGGGAGGCAGCTCCAGGCTGAGAGCAGGCCGTGCCGCCGGAGCGCGGGGGGCACGCTCCCAGAGCGCGGCCGCAGCGGCGTGTGCTCTGACGGGACACTGCTCCCCGGGCAGCGCGCTGCAGCCAACGGTCCCGGGAGGGATGGGCACCACTGGGGCCAGGAGGTGGTGGCACCAGCTCCCGCTGCCCCGTGAAGCTTTGGCAGAGCTGGCACCCGTCTTCAGGCTGCTTCCCCCCGCCCTCCTCCCTATGGTGTTCCTCAGTGGCAAGCTCTCAGCCCGTCTCCCAAACAAGCCTTTCTGTCCCATGCACCGATTCTGGTTTTCCCAGCCTGTCCCCTTCTCCAGCAACAGCTGAGTTGCGAGAGAGCAAAAGCAGGCTCTTTGCAGGCCGGCAGCAAACTTGCTTTTATGATCCCTGCAATGCTACCACCGGCTAGAGCCGCTTCAAAATTTAGGCTCTGCTGACCTCTAGGGGACTGCTACAAACCCAAAAGTATAAAGGCTTCAAAAGCTCATGGTGTGCTAGAACCGTTTACAAGCTCGTAAGGAGCCCTGTGGTGAGTATAACACAGTTGACACCCGCCTCTGGGCCCTTTAGCACTGTTAGAGGCTGTAAATAAAAACCTGGCTCTAACACTGCCTCTTCCATCGCACCATTATAGCAGCAGTACCTTAAGAAAAGCATACAAGCAAGGTAAGGTTGTTGTGGAAAGATACTACCTGCTATCAGACCGCCCCATATAATCGCTCCTTTTCTTTCAGCGTGGAGAAGTGCTTGAGAGCTTGTGGCTTCCACCCTCTTCTATATCAGTTTGTCTAACAAAATGTGTAAAAACCTTGCTTTGCTGTCACAACTACAGCACTACTGGGTGAAAAGCACGGATGCATACACCTAAGCATTGGAAATAAAGTTAAATGGGCTTCTTTATGGCACTTCATCACTCACTAAACAAGTGCTGGAAGGAAGAACCTTGTCACAGAGAAGGAGGAACATAAAGACTTGTCGAAAGAAAGCACAAAATCCCATGTGCTCCTTAAAACAGCACATGGAGTAGCTGGAGCAGGGCGGGTAACTGCATTTCCCAGCTGACTGCTTGAGGGCAGCTGTGGTGGGAGACAAAGCATTTGGCAGGAGCCTACAGAGGCAACACAAACTGCACACCTCTAATGGATCTGTTCTCCTCGACAGAAAGCCAAAACCTATCATAGCCCTGGAACATCCCGGTTTCTTGACTTGGGGGAGGCGTGAGGTAACTCTGGGGGGGCTGGGGTGCGGACAGACCTGGGCTGGGACAAAAGCTGTGTGCAGGGCAGAGTGCCCCCAGCCGCAGCCACCACCTTGTGTGAGAGCTGCTGCTTGTCCCTGGGCTGAGGTCCACACCAGCAGAGAGCTGCTATCTAAACTCTTTTAAGTTCACTCGACCTTCTGAGGCAGGAAGAAGTCCATCCAGCAGACCGGAGCGGGCAGCGGGCTCCAAACAGCTGAACACATGCAGGGACTGTCACTGCTTCCACAACTGTACCTGTAGCCCGAGCCTAACTGTCACCGTGGCTTCCACCATACACAAAGGTCTCTCAGGAGGTTGTGGGGCTTCTGTTGCCACGACCGTGCACCAACGTGAGGGAGTCAGTCCTGGCAGGCACGCCAGCAGCTGCAGGAATGGTTTTATAGACAACCCTGAGGGCTCCGGACACACCACGGGGCACATAATTGGCATGCTCCTACTCAGTGCTTGTGCTCTGGGAAGTGCTAAAAATACACGGCAAGTGCTAAGTTAAAGCACTTGCTCTTTCATGGGCTGAAAGATCTTCTTCGACCCACAGACAGAGGCTCATTACAAAAGGTAATGACTGACAGCGTTCCTTCAACTAAATCAGGGTGAGATGTCAAAGCAGTAATTAAAAGTGCAGTGTTTAAAGAAAAGAGACAAATGAGTTGAACAGAACCACCAATTTTCATTTCAGCATCGTTACATGTCTCTTAATTAGAACAGATGTCTCCCTAATCTGTGCAAAACAGAAGAGGACCTGGGAGGTCTGAAATATTGGCTCATCCACAAATATTACCACCAATTCCCACCTTATGACAGCAAATCCACTGCCTCAGACTGCACCAAACCAAACCACCCAGCAGTTCTGGGTCCTGTCCTGCTTACTCTGCAGTGCTCAAAGCTCAGATGGAATAATTTTCTCTTCCTTACACTTGCAAACACCGTGTTTATCCCACCACACACCAACAGTGCCCAGGAAATGCAAACCTCTCATTCCCTTTGCCACACGTTGTAGCTATGTTTTAGCCTCTCAAAATCCCCTTTTAGTTAATTTTGCTCACAGAGAAAAGACTCCATCAGTCATCAGAGTTTGGTAAGCTCTTTAATGGCAAGCTCATGATGTAATGACACTGCTGGATTTGATGCCTCGGTGGTGGGAGAGGGAGGAGGATCAGAAGAAAGGCAGGGCTCCACTGAAGGCTTACACCTTTGAAAGCACTGAACAAAAGGGCAACATCTTTTGGTGACCCATTTCACAGCTTTGTAGTCCCAAAGACAGATCTTCCAGCCAGAAAAAAAGCTGGGAAGCACCCCAAAGACAGCCTTTGCATGGCGTGGCGCAACAGGATTTCTGCTTGACGTGTTGAGGTCTGGCTGGTTCCGGGATTAATAAAGGAAAACTTGACAACAAAAAAATTGCACTGACTGAAATCCAGAGCTGACACTTCCACCACCACCCCTGAAGATGAAAGCAGGCATCCTTTACATGCAGTGTTGCTGCAGATCTTTGTCTACATGAACAACAGCATGTCGGTACAAAAAGGGAATTTCAAAGTTCAATGTATTTTACATTAAACCAGTGAGCTTTACTGTAGTCAGCAGTAACTAGTTCAAAGAAGCTTTTTTTTTCTGCAGACAGATGAATACCCTTTTTGTTAATCTGTATATTTGTTTATGACCAAGCTTGTACTGACAATGCAGTGCTACGTGGCTCTGTAGATATTGGGGTTTGCAATAATGCAGATGTGCCTTTAGGGACTGTCTTTCTTTTTTTAAAAAAAAAAAAAAAAAAATCAATGCGAAAAAAGTCAAACAGAGCATGTAAATGGTAATTTAGCTCAGCAAACACGCGTGCCCCCGCCTCACATTGTAAGTGGTTTCCTTCGTACACCTGCCACAGACATCAGACACCAACTAAGAAAGCCTCAGAGGAAGTCTGATAAAAACCCGGGGTGACAGGGTCTCCCCTCAGAGCCTTTCTTTTCAGAGGTAAGGACCAAATTTAAGGCATCTCTTTATTTTAGTATCTGCCTTGGAGGTGACTCTGCAGGGACCACCTCAAGCGCAGCCTGTTACGGGGTGTAAGAGCCGCTGCCCTGAGTCACCCCAGCCTGGCCGTCACGCGAAGGCTTCCCAGCTGCAGCTGGCTGCAGGGACAGGCTGCCAGGGAGGTCCTGCCAGAATTAAACAGATAAAACAAAGCGCTTCCCTCTGCTCAGCGATTTACAGAAAGGGGGCATCCAGCTAGAGCCCCCGAAAGGGATCCTTCCTGATTTCCTACGTCCTGTGGCCGAACCGAAACCAGTCAGTGTGGAGAAAGAGACCTGCAGGCTGGGCCGGGCCCCCCAGCAACTGGCAACCAGGCAGGTCTCATCTTCTGGATGCCCAGACTGGAAAAGCCTCAATGGGTGATGATTTTCAGAGGCTGGGTTATTTAGCTAGGCATCGCTCTCTGTGAAATGATCTTGGGTTTGGCACCTAAAATGACCGCTCTCCTCCTGCATAACCCCTGTCTGGCACGGACCACTCGTGGGTCCTCGAGGGACAACACGTCTCCCACGTCACCTCATCCCCCCGTGAGAAGGTGCTGCCTGTGTGAAAGGACGGCGCAGCTCAGTTACACCCCCCCCGCGCTGCAGCTCTCACCGATACACCTGGCTGCGAGCTGTGGGAGGTAAGAGGGTTTTTCTATCCACCTTCCTCTGCTTCCCCTCTTCTGGGAGTGGGAATTTCTGAGAAGAAGAGTGGTAAGGATGGAAAGGAGGGAAGGATGGATGGACGCAAGGTAAGGATGGATGAAGCGGTAACCCCTCGCCTCCTGCCACAGCTAAAGCTGACTGTGAGTAAAACAGCCACGGACTTCAGCCCTGGGTCCTGGTGAAAGATCAGGAAATATGTTCAAAGAGGCTGGGAATCTGCCCTGCCTGGCAGCTTTCCAAAGCACCGTCCATAACGTTATTGCAATCGCTTTTACTGTCACGGTCTCCCGTCCCTCCCTGCAGAGGGGGAAAGGGCTGTTACCCGCCGAGCACTGCTGTAGCAAACAGCTCCCCGCGGCCCCCAGCCACCACCTCACACAGCACAGGGGACACAGCAGCAGCTAGCGTGCAGGTCACTGCTGCAGGAAAGCTAACGCGGACTATTCCCATCAAAAGTGGCATTCTCAGGAGCATGCGACTTTCAAAGGCACGGCACTATGCACAGAGGGAAACTGCCTAGAAAACAGCCCAGAGCAGGGCAGGAGGTGGAGCTGAAGTCTGGTAGGGTTCAGGCCATCATGCTCAGGGGTGTGCTATTCCCCACGTTTCTGCAAGAAAACTGTCAATTTTTTCTCCCATGAGCAAGTCCATTTAAGAGATGTTACTGTACAGCTAATAAAGCAGCTTCCTGCTCCCTGACTACTGCTCCTACCCACTCATACAATATCATAAATAATAATGCTGGGGAAGAGAGGAGAAAGTTTTTCAGTTTGCCTTTCCTCCGTTGCCTCCTCTCTCAACCATCTCAATGCATTCGTCAAGCAGGACACTAAACTAAAAACACAACCCAGCTCAAGGCCCCAAGTAATGTCCACCTTCTTTATAAACTGCATAGGTTCCATAGGCAGATACTTGGCAGGATGGTTTGGGCTGTCCCAGAAATCCCAGCACCTCTCCGAAAGGGGCCTTTCTCACCCTCGCCTCTGCTACCCAAACCAGTTGTTATGTTTCCCAAATCTGCTCTTCCCTCTGGCATCCCATGTATTTCTCATCCCCCAAGCAGCACTCCGCTCATTACACTCATGGAACTCGTTCAGAAGTGCCAGTTTTGCAAGAGGCTCTGCTCTGGTAAATTTGTTTTTGGCTGGAGCATGAAATGCCCAAGAGAAGGGCAAGGGAAAAGGGAGACTTTTCTGTGTCCTTTCACTAATGGTTTGGCTTTGAGGATAGGCAATGATGATGCATTCCTCTTCTCACCCACAGATCTAAAAGCAGCTTATACACTGGTAGACAAATACTACTAATGGCCCCTTTTATGAAAGGCTTAAGTAGGACTGCCAGAGTTACCCTGCTCCCACTGAATTTCATGGAAGCCTGGATAAATAACTGGAGGCCTGCCTTGAATTCCCAGCTGCTGAGATCCACCCGAAGCTCAGGACAAGGCGATGGCAGAGCTCTGAACTCACATCTCACCAAGTCCCCGGGGTTGCAAGCAGTTATGCATGTATTCACAAATCTGGCATCTCAGTCTAGCAGCCTAGCCACCGGGTCATGCTACCCCCTGGTCAATGGCTACTAACCTCAGTAAGTGGTGGGAGTGAGGGAAAAATAAAATAAAATATAAAAATACTCTGTAATACAACTAAACCGGTTCCGCATCTCTTGCATTGTTTGGTAAGTATGGAATAAGTAACACGGCAATACAGAAATGTATTTGGTCAAAGTAAGCAATCAGTATTTTTTGGTAAAATACATTCTATATTAATACTCATTCACATTTAATACACATGTAAATTAAATCTTCCATGTATAAAATTCCAGTTTATTCTCAGTGCTGCCTGGCCATGCTTCAGTTCAGCAGCGGGGCTCAACACATTCAGCTCCCAGCAAAATGAGAGGGGACAAGAGTGCTCAGCGCTCTGCAGGACCAAGCCTTGCACGTCCCCTGGCACGCCCGGTCCCGCAGATCACCTTTGAACAAAATCTCGCTGGCTTCAGTGGGAATTTTGCAGGGGTGAGCGCTGCAGAAGGGCCCCCCCGGCTGTCCAGCACTTGCGGTCTGGTGTGGGAATCACCCAAACGGCATTCCGAAAAAAAAAAGTGAGTTAGTGAATACAGAAAATAATATATCTACATAATTTACAGCGTTAACGTTTGCTTGCAACCGTATTAATGCTCAACCGCTCATTAACAATTCCATCGATATGCAGGGAAAGGTAGCAGCGTGCAGTACACATTCCAACCTCCTGTATGCAAGTACAAGCACTGGATCTTACAGTCTCTCCTCATCCCGTGGACTCCTGCCTATCCCGCTGCCACCCAGAGCCCAATCCTCCGCCCAGCCTTGCGGAGCCAACCCTTCACAGCGCTTGGGCCGGTTCAGACTGCGCCCGCGCCTCCGCCACGGGCCCCTAAAACACCGTGCAAAGGGCACCGGAGGGTCCTTCACCTACCACCCACGGCCACCCCCCCACACCCCCCCACCCCGCGTGGTGCCACCGCTCGCTCAACCAGGCGGCGGGACCGATCCGGCTGGAAAACCAACGGTCGGTGAAAAAAAGGGAGGCAGAGGGGCTGATTCCCAGCCACAGGTCACAACGCAGACGTGCATGGGGGGGGGGGGGGTGTGGGGTGTGATGGGGGTGTCTGTGGCACGTGGGGGGGGGGCTGACGGCCACCCGCACCTGAGCAAAACGGGCGCGAGCGGCTCGCAAACCTGACGGACGGGCAGGACTCTGCCTCCAGCTTGAGCTACTGTAAATTCGGTCTTGAGTTACGTTACAGCAGAGGGAAGTCAGCCCCCCTCCTTCCTTCCCCCCCCCCCAAAAGATCTACTTGAATGAGCCGCAACCAAAGGTCTGGATGCTACGAAGAGAAAGGCTCTCCCCGAGCAAGGCTCTGATTAAGGTTGTGGCATCTGTTTCAGCTGAAGAGGAAAGAAACAACTTAGGGACTTAAAGCAGGGATGGAAACCACGGGTCTTACACTTTATTTTAGTAAGCAAAAAGCCTATTGCTGCTGTACAGTGTTATACAATGAACTGCCACGGTTCTCACGTCACTAGTCCATAGAAAATGTGCTGCGACTACCATATTTATGCCTGCATGCTGAAAGAATGTACAAAGTTGCATTAAGCTCTGTTTCTCTTCCACTTTTTTTTTGATTTTCTTAAACTCCGACTTCTACAGTGTTGCAGACACTTCTGTGCATACTCTGGTACCACACACCATCCCGGTTATGGAAGGTCTTTGCCCCAGATTGGAAAAAAATCAAGTGCTATGCGTCTCTCAAGCCATCACCAGAAATGTAAACCATCAAGAAAACTTGCTCTCTTAAGTAACCTTGAAAAAAAAAAAAAGTCTTTAAAAAAATCTACTGAAAAGGAGACATCGCTAACAACAGGGTTTTCAAAATGGTGCGAGTTGTTTCTAGGAGTTGTCCAAGCATTTCCTCTTCGCTCACTTTTTGTTTTTATGAAGCTAATTGTGTATAAAAGGCCTTTGGAAGCGTGTGACCTTCATTTCACGATTTTTAAAAAATTGGAAAAAAAGGAGTAAATTTAGAAACATTTTGCTCAGTTGTGGAAAAGAGCTGTATTACAACAGAATCCCCTTTGCTTCTTATATTTTCAGTACAAAAGGCAAGTAAAGAAAGAGACCCTGCATCTTCACAGTCTGGCACTCATTCGAGTCACTTAAATCTATGCAAAATAGGTATAAAATACAAGGGGTTGTCTTGTTCTTTATATCAAGACTCCATCAAACCCCTCTGAGGAGCAAGTCCCCAGCTAGGTAAAACCTCATTAGTATTTATATCAGCTGAAGTAGTAGTATTTTAGCTCCCCTCCAACGAGGTGTAAATGCCTGGACTAGCTCAAAGGCCCAGGGAGAGGAACAGGTCCAACGTAATTGTAAGAGCCAGGTGCTGGTTTACACCCTTATGGCTTCAAAGTTAAGTTGCACTTCAACACACTATGCCACGAGGTTTGAATAATAATTTAGCAGTGTATTAAAAACAGTGAAGCTTAAAGTTGGTGTCATGCAGAAGTGGGATAGGCCATGGCTATTTTTTAATTGATTTGTATGAAAGCAGCATTTGACTTCGGATCAAATGGTGTCACAGTACCAGGGTTGGTTATAAAATGTACTGCTGATACTAATTACTCCCAGTTATTAATTCAGCACTTGCAAACCCAGGTGTCAGTAAAACAACATAAATAAGTCTGACACCAATACTCCCCTGGATTTCTCGCTTCCCATTATTTTTGTTAAGCCTTCGTGTGCACTTCTGCAGTACCGACCACTATTAAACTAGTGTTTTTCAGGAGAGATCTCTCCAAGTTTGGTACTTTGTCAAAAACCATAGCTGTTGAACTAAAAAGAAAAACACAGATCATGTTTGCTCTCTGCGTCACTGGTGAGGACTCGGCACTCTCACCACACGCTTCCTACATTCTCGGTACTCTACATTCATGTCATCGAATGCTACTCTCGAACACAAATCGAAGAGACAAGTCAGCAACAAAGCTACTTCTAGACTGATAACAGCAGGATGCTACCAAGACAACTCCATAGAAAACCCACTGAAGCAGGAGCAAAATTCAGGTCACTTCTTAGCAAAGCTCATCACAGATTATTATTATCATTATTATTTTTTAAACGTTTTGTAAAACTTTTATCCTAGGAGCCAGATATCCCCATGTGATGTGCTAATTCGAAACGGGCTAATGTGGGACCACCTGACCCCACCTGGTACCAAAGGCTTCCGAATTTTTTTAGCTTCTCAGAGAATCACTGCTGACTGACACCCATCTGTTGGTGATCGGCTTCTGGTTCCTCTTCTTCCACATCTGCGTTATATTCTTCAAATGCATCATCATCAACATCTGGAAGCCCGAGTAACTACAAAGAAGAGAAAATACTGTGTAATAGCGAATTACCCACTCGTGCAGCTTTGCTGTAATTCTTCACATAATACCTAGGTGCCACTTCTAGAAAACCTCAAACCCTGGAACAACAGTACTGCATAATGCTCTCGACTCTATTTCTCTCCCTTCCGTGATAAAGATTTGAAAGTTCATCCTCACACCAAATTGAGTGCTCAGAGACTGGAAGCTAAATAAAACCAAAGCAAAGCACTTGCTAAAAGCTTCAAGTTCTTCCCTGAGGTCGTATTGTGAATTGTTGAGTGTTTAGACTTGGCAGTGGTTCAACTTCAGAAAGAACCATAATACTGTAGCAGTAGTTATCTTGGTTTCGCATGGTGTTTGGCAACCCTATAAAAGCCAAACCAGAAAACAGCCTCATGCAGAACTGGCTAGTGGGGAGTAGGCAAGGAGTCCCTAAAAACCTAATGATCCCACCATGTTAAATGCTTCTCTTGAACCCTCACTCCGATCACACCAGATGAAGCCCTCACAGTGAGAAATACTGTGTATTCAACTCAAAATTGTCTGAGCCCCTTAAAATTTTTTAAAATTAGATTTGGTCTTGTGAAGAGCTGCCAGCCCATCTTTCCTGGACAATGTTTGGATGCCTCCACCTGATGGCTCCAATCACTGCAAGGGCACTTTTCACTACAGGAAAAGGAGCAAACAGCGACATTTGAACTCCTCCCCTCCAAAAGGTTGCCAAGCCAACGGAAGTCAGGAAGACAGATAAACCAAATAATAGTCAAAATAATGCATCTGTTGTGGAAATCTCCAATTAGAACCCTACGCTAGCAGCTATTAATAGCCAAAAAGCAAAATCATATGCCAGGCATTATTGGGAATACCACATATTTAGCTTGCCAGGGCTGGAAGAGCAGTACAGATGCATGCAATACCCTGTTTGGAGAGTGACACAGCTGTTAGCTCTCGCAAGAGGCAAAGCCCAGAAAAAACTGGGAGGAGGGTGACATTCGCTAGGTGGTAGCACGAAAATGAGAAGGCTGTGACGAGGCAGATTTTCAGGGACCTAAACTAATTTAGTCTGTGATCAACATTCAAAATTATTCAGCGGACATAAATACAACGCACAGAATTAGCCTCTGCATCCAACGAAGCTGGTATTCCTCACTGTCACTGGGAGAAAAACAGTGTTTTAGTTGCAGGGTTTCTTCAGCAGTGAAAAGGAAAGAGAACTTGCTGACTAAACCCCCTCCTTCACACTTTAAAAATACATGCAGAGCGACCCCGAGCTGAGCAGAACAGAGAGTCAATATTCCTAGTATATGCATTTTTCAAATCAAATGCTTAACTGAATGTGAAACTACTTGGTTCATTTTCAGGATGGGGGGGGGTTTGTTTCATGATGAAGCTAAAATTAAAATACTAAATTTTTAAGATGCAAAATCAAGGCCTCCACACTTTCTTATCCACTAGTATTATTTTTGCTAAACTGATTTAGTGTATTCCAATTAAATGTGAGTGTTGTACTGCTCTGTTTATATCAGCCGGTAGAAAGAGCTTTGATCACTTTTTTTTTTTTTTTTTTTGCTCAGCTCTGGTTATAATTCCTCCTTGATTTGCAGGGAAATGAGCCACACGAGTCTTAATTTTAGAGGATACTGTGAGCCTTTCCAGTGCAAAATTAACGTGGAAAACACAACATACACCACAAGAACCGCAACGACGCACACAATCCCGAAGGATGGGGAACACATCCTGCTTTTCACACATCCCCTCTCCCTGGGGAAACCCAGCTCTCCTCTCCCTGGCACAGCACCTTAGTGGTTTTACGGAGCACAGGAAGGATGGGGAGGGGATGGGATGGGATGCCCCTCCAAGAGATGTGCAGTTTTGCTCTTTCATGGACACTTTAGGATCTCCCAAGGCACCAAGGACCTTGGCCATGCAGGTCTCGATTTTAGGGGTTGCATTTCATTGCTTCCCGCAGGACTACAGCCCCTCACCACTGTTAACCCCTTACAGCCCTCTGGACTGCAGTGGCAAATCAGCCAACAGCTCACCCCCAAGGAGGGAGGATCAAGTGCAGGGAGCTCTACAAACACTGGGCCAAAGCAGAAGGAGGGAGTATAAAAGATGAGGACAAAATAAGACGATGAAGGTGGCCTGAGCTGACCCTAGACTGACTCCCACTTTGTCTTCTTTCAAACACACCAGTTTCTGCTCCTAGTCCTTATCTACTTTATATATTAAAGTATCAGCTGTGTGGCAGACTGAAAGGACTTTAATGGAGAGTGAAAACAAAGAGGAAAGAGGTAAAACAGGAAAGGACTGTAGAAAGAGAGGGCTGATCCATCAGCCAAACAGTCAAGGGGAACAAAACTGCCAGGTGGGGACACGTGGGGAGAAGGAAGACATGAAGGTGGTGGGGAGGGAGGACAACAACCAGCGGCAGCACTGCCTGAACTACACCCACTTATTCTGGCCAAAGTACCCACCTGGAGGTAAAGGAGAGGTCACTGGGATGTGTATGAATTAAATGAATATGGGATAAATGGCTTTTACACTGCAGACTCCCCTTGTTCCGATGTAGGCTTTTTGGGCTGAAGGTGAGCTCAACGCGGGAGCCCTGGAATCTGCTGCTGAATTGTACAACCCACGTTTTAGTTCTTTGCAAATTCTGACAGTTGGTGTGATGTCCCTCAGGCATTTTTTTTTTATTTGTCTGTCTTTCTTAACTCTTTCCAAAGTCGCCTGATTTTATAGAAATAACCTAGCAGTTTTTCAGTCACGAAAGCAGAGTGGCATTGCCTCCTGCCAAAAGCTGACGTACAAGCACACTGAAAAAATACACCACGTACAAGACCAAGCTTTAGCGGTCCACAGGACGCTACGCTAGAGATAACGTGGTTCTGTCAAATCCTGGTGTGAAGGGCTTAGTCTCCAGGCAGATGTGCTTACAAGCACCAGCACGGACACCTCTGGCACCAGAGAGACAAGGGCATCGGAGGGGCTGGGATGCTCCGAGGCAAATAGTGGTATTTGAGCCCAGTGCTATTGATACTGCTTCACGTACCTGCGTGGTGTCTGGCACTTCTGGATGCTCCCTGAATAAGTGGATAATAAGGCAAATCACAGAGTTTTGTGGAAACCAACCCAGGAAGGCAGTAATGGGCAGAGACAACATCCACCTTCAGCAAAGAAACAGCTTGGCCTTGTCTAGAGGAGGATTTAGAGATGCTGTTTAGCTGTCAAAGGTTAACCAACACCTTTTTAAAAGCCTCATCTCAATAAATATCCTGCCCTGGCACTGTGTTTGTGCCCACAAAACATAAGGGAGAGATGCCCGAGAGCAGCGAGGGCTGGTGAGCAGCCCCCAGACTGCCCTCCTTACCTCCTGTGCCCAGGGAAGAGCGGCGAGCAGAGGGAAATCTGTGTCCCTCGCGAGGAGGGATGGCAACCGCTGGGCACCCCCGCTCTCACCGCCCCCCCCCGAAACACGGGAACCAAAACACGGTAACCAGCGTTGTGAGCAGCCAGTCCCTTCCCACGCCGCAGCCCCAGGGTAAGCCTCTGGGGACAGGGCTGGGCTGTCACCTCGACTATGTGGAGCAGGGCTGAGCTGAGTTCCTGGGAAAAGATGGGTCTGAGAGCCCTCAGCTGAGGGAATGCAGGTGCTTGTGCCGCGAGTGAGAGCATGGAGAGTTGCAGACGCACTGCCGGTGTCTCCTCCTAAGCATTTCCCTTCAAAGGACCCCAATAAAGACTTTCAAAACCGTCTACTGATCTTGGATGTCTGGCTGGAAATAGCGAAATGAAAGGTAACTTTCAGAAGCTGCTTACCAAGCACATGGTAAAAAACCTGGCCCCTCCTCAGTGTCTCAGACTGAGCAGTCAGGACCATCAGACACTCCAGAAGAGCCCAGTCTGACCTTCAGCAGCAGTTTTTCCTAAACTGCTGTTTTTCAAACTGAAATTTGCCAGACTGGTCTCTGACAGCACACTTGGTTGGGACAGTGGAGAAATGCCCTGCAAATGCATTGTTACCTCCAAGCTGACAGCAAGGTGGTTTCGTTAGCAAAACGGGTCCAGTAGAGAATGGAGGGGGGACAGCATGAAGTAACCCCAAGGAAATAATTTTCCAATACTGATGAAAAGTGGTTTTGTTCTGGCAAAGGCCTGAGGGTGCAAAATAACTGTTTCCATACATCTGCTGTAACACCCTTCACTTTTAAAAAAATCTATCCTACCATGCATGTGCTATTTTTAATAATTACAGTAAGGGAAAAACATTCCTTATTAGACTCGTCTACACACAACCATACCTCGAATGATAAACACAGTATTGTTCCACTGATGCAAATCTCTCAATACTAAGTCGAAGGAGAATGAGAACTTTAATCTTTGTGGTACATCCAAGAGAAAATGAAGAGGTACTTGATTACAGTCTGCAAGAGGTCTCTGACAATTGAGGACACTGTTTTTGAGCAGACAAAAGCATAATGAAAGTCAATAGCTAGGAAGCAAAACTAGAAAAACACAGATTGTAAATAAAAGAGTTTTTCACAGGAATGTAACTAATGATGAGAAGAAAAAGTGCCCAACAGTGCTATATCCTTTAAGTCACCTGAAGACTTTACACCAACACTGGGTGTCTTTGGAAAAGACAAGCTCCAGCTCAACCACAATTTATGTGCTCGGCTGTGGGAATCATGGGGTGAAATGTGATGTATTAACAAAGGGCCCAGACTAAATGAGCATAACGATTCCCCTTGCTTTGAGCCTTTTTGTTCTGAAGAGTAACTCAACTTGGTTTGACTGAAGCCAATTTCTCAGTAACTTAAACTATGCTGAAATATATGCGGTTTAAATGAAATAAGTGATCTGTACCAAGTTAATTAAGTCTTTTTGAAGTCCTCTTTAGTTAAACCAATGGAAGTTTCTCCTCAAAGGCACATCTTTTCTGAGCAGGAGAAAACAGCTACGAAGATCCAAGAGCTGAAAATTGTTCTGCGAAACATATTTTTGTATGTTTTCACAATTACAAGCAGCTGTACTGACAGATCAGATTTCCAGTCCTTTCTAAGAAAAGTGTACATCTGTTCTATTTATTTCTAGTCTCTCAAAGGATTCTTTAAAATGATGCTCTTTTATGTCGACCAGCTGTGGCGGTCCGCGGCAAGGCAATGCAAGGGTGTAATACAGGGAGGGCCACTGTTTTCATATCCGTGCTCCAGGCCCTCCCTTTTGCTCTAAATACTTGGGATACATTATACATTTTCAGTCTTCTCAATTAGTCAGCCAGAAAAAGAGAGAAGGGAGAAAGGTCTACATTTTCAGTTGAGAACAAAAACATCCATCAGTCAGCTTTCCCATGGACATCACGGGAGCACGGCTCTGGCAACGAACCTCCACCCTGCTTTGCACCAGCCCCTTACCCAGCCCCAGGCACTCAAAAGAAGAGGCTGTGCAAAGGGACGATTTGGCAAAAAACGAAGGACAACGGCCAGCCTAAGTCACCTCACCCTGACAAAACCCAGGCTTTGACCCAAACGTTAGTGTTAAACAAGGACAGAGAAAGCTGAGTAGCATCAAAACAGAAAAATACACGTCCCCTCCCTGCAAAACCCAGCTTCTGCTCCAACCTCTTCTCAAGCAATGACCAGACTGGCATTTGTAAATACCAAGCAGCAACCATCCTAACAGCAAAATTTGAACCACTGGGGGGGCGGGGGGAGCCAACCTTAAAATAAAACAAACCACTCTGAGGGGAAACCCTGCTTCCAGCTTCCCAGAGGTTTACTCTCGCTACTTAGATCCTTGTAAAATTCCCCAATATTCCAGTGCCAGGAAATAACCCTGCCACAAAGTCCCGCGGCGCTGACTCGCATCCCGTTCCTCGGAGTCGTCAGTGCTGCATCAGCAGGGCGGGAGCCCCTGCGCGGCTGGGGAGCCGGGGCCGCCGGCTGCCACACCAGTTGGCCTCCCACCCCGTGTGGGAATCTCATCCTCTCAAACGCAGAGATGGAAATAAAAAAGCAGCCGGCTTCCAAAAAAAAAAAAAAAAAACCAATTTGCAATTGCCTGGTAGTAGTAGCTCACGTGCTAACACCCCTGCGCCCAGGCAGCTGACTGGAGATGTAAGTCCCCGCAGAAGAAGAAAACACCTTGCTCCATCCAGTGCTATCCTATTAAAAGTCACAGGTAACTGTCAATGTTTTGAAGTAAAAAAGAGGCACTTACGGGTCTGAAGGATTTGAAGACTTTTTCCAATATTTCATGGAGTGTCTTTTTCCCACAGGAGGAGATGTAATCCTGCGCGAGCTGCAGAAAAGGCAAGCAGTCCTCACTTTCACTCCACACGTGCTAAAAGCCAACAGCAACACAAGAAATAAAAGGCATTAATCGGAATTCACGCTGGCCTCTCCACGTGATTTTATAAGGTGACACGTTGTAAACATCTGCCAAAATACAACGGGCCTCCCGCAGTTCAGACCCGCACTGGGGACGGGCACCACAGGCTGTTTCAGAAGCTGTGCTTCTGAGGAGGAACCTTGATTTTGTTAACATGATGCATCAGAACGCAGGGAAATCAATCCAGAAGAGAAAACGCCTTATAATTGCACCACCAGTGAAGGGTGCGCGTGCCTTGCACACACGCATTTCACAAGTAAAGGTATTTTCGTCTGACATCAGCCAGTCACGTTGGGTTTCCCCTCCTTCTGCATCATCTGCTGCAATGAAGCCCTCAGGAAGAGCTAAAGCACCTCTCTGCCTTCCTGGCGTTAGCGCCAAGTGTGACGTGACCCTAGAGGTGGAACTTGATGTGGAATTCTCTCGACAAGGCAGAAGATGCAAAATATACCAGGAGGTTAAACGCAGGGCCAAGGAGAGATATTTGGGCGCTCACAACATCCTGACACTTCATGCCTCCCTCCCTGTTTTGAGCTTTACTCCTCCTAGACCTGAATCTTCTCTTCCCAGGCAGGCAAACTTAAATCCATTCGGGATATTCCTCTCATCTTGTCCTTGCTTCAGAGAAGCTGGTTCCCCAGCCTGGCTCTGTGAAGCCTCTCCCAAGAACTGATGCTTACTCTGCCGCTACGAGGTTGTTTGGCACCGATCTGGTGAGCAGTGGTGGAAGCACTCGGGCAGCAGTGCTTCTTGCACCCAAGGGCAGCACGCAGCACAGGCTGCTGTGTACTTTTCAAGGCCTTCTGTCCGAAGACTTTGTGCACGGGACAGTCTCAGGCAGCCTGCTACACACAGAAGTGTAATACTGCAAAATTGGCTTGGGACTCTTATACCCCAGTTTGTGCACAGCAGCTCTTTTCCCCAAAGTGCCGTGCAGCTTTTTACTGTGCTATAAACAGTAGGTTATGCTTAAACAAGGAAAGAAGAGGGTCTCTCCAAAGCTCAACTAACATTCAGGGAAAGAGTAAGAACGACAGATGTTTCAATCCCTAACATAAGGCTTGCATGCCTTCCTGTTCAGTGGTGAATACCTGCCAGGGATGCAGTTTTACACTTACTGAAGGAAAACACTACATAACATCACCTAAGCTGCACCTTTAAGATGAAAACTGTAACTGCCTTGCTATGAGCCTCACTTGACCTACATTTTCTTTGCTGCTTGTTGCATTTTACAAGCATAAACAGAGTGAAATGTTTTGCTATGAAAGGAGCCCTGCCTTGATGAGTAGGTTCTGCTCTTTCCATATAACCAGTCATCTCTTAACCAGTTTGGCAATAAATTCTTTACAGTCTTGCCAACTCTCAGAGGCACATACCACAAGTCTCATGATACTTCAAGCCATCTTAGAGTCATGGGCCTTGTAGTTCTAAATATACAACCAAATCTCAGCTCCCGTTTACAAAAAAAAAAAAAAAAAAAAGTCTGCACTTTGTGATTTCAATGGCCTAAAAAGGCAGAATGTACACGAAATGAACTCAGATGGTCCCTCTTTAAAGTATCAAATGAACACTTTCAAACCACAACATTTTAAGAACAGCCTCGAGATTTTGGAGGGCTAGCCCATGATTTCTTAATAGTTGGTGTTACCAATAACGGTTTAGTTACTTCTAATCTTTGCTTCAAACTCAAGAGCTGGATGCTGCAGCTTGGCAATTCGCAGCTCATGCTAAACCTGTTGTAATTGTTTATATGTATAAAACGATTATTACTGCTAACATCCTGATTCTTGTTTAAATTGTGGCTTCTTTGACTACTAGAGCTATATGCAGAAGCTTCGAAAAAATAAAAATCACGCCCTGCTCTTTCATAAATAATAGCTGGTTTGTTCCCCAGGGGAAGTTAACCCCATGTGTTTACAGTCTCTTTTCAGGCTATACCACATTTTAGATTCCTGTGTGAATTTGTCAGCAGTAGAGCAGAATAAGACCATCTAGCACAAGGGGAAAACCTAAGCAAGTAACTTGATCACTGAGCCTTTGAAGAGACATTTTTGCATCGCATCATAAGGCAGTAAGCAAGTAAGGCTTCCAACAATTTCCACATCTGCAGAAGATTTAAAACTTTGGCTGTAGCAACAAATGCACTGCAAAAGGTCTCACATGCCATTAGCGCATGGGTCTCGTTCAGAAATAGCTTGATTTTGTCTTCCACCCCCCACACCCCTCCCCACCCTAAGAAGCTCAACCATACATAATAAAGACCAGGGTTATAACACCTCTAAGTTCAGCTCTCTGTGGACATTTAGCGCTGCACCGAGGCCGTGCAGCAACGGAGTCTCACCACTGACTCATGCATCTCCAGAGGAACCTGCAAAAGGAATTTTGGCCTCTTGAAATAAAAGCAAAGGTAATCTGAGGATTCAGCTCCTGCTTAGAAAGTTACAGCAGTCAAGTGAGGCTGCACATACGGAGATGCTTTTCCTGGAAAAACCCCCGACGCCTGAGGATCTCTTTGCAGTGGGAGAAGCGGGCTGCTGGCAAACTGGTGGATCATAGTGCTTGGCTGCGGCTGCACAATTAAAAAAATATTAACCTCATCATCCGAGTATGTGTTTTCCAAGCTTGCCCAGTTTTGCACACAGTTGCTTTGTGTCACTACAAAAGCACACAGCCACTAATTTCCACCTCAGCTGACCTAGGATCATGGTTGAATTATTTAGTTCAGCAACTACACACAGCACATTGCTGAGGCAATTCCTAAGTTGCATCTGGAGGGGTTTGCTTTCCCCTCACACCTCTGGATGATTCAGCGTTGCTGGAGGACAGAGCCACTGGCCGGACCACCTTTTTCTAACTAACCCACCTGTTGAGCATGGCAGCAGAACTTTTTCTTTGTAGGGGTAATCTGACTTGCAGAAAATATTCAGACTGACTCTGTTCTAAAACATTTCACAGGAAATCTTGCATCAAGGTGGCATCGTATTTTTAATTTTATCAGTTACTCTGAATATCAGCAATAACACGGTGACAAAACAAATGACAGACTACAAGCAATAGCATCGTAAGCCTCACTCACCCTCATTGGTTACAGCTATACAAGTCCAATTAATTTTTTGAGAACGCAAGCCTCAGGGGCTAAATTATACGTAGTTCAGCTATCTAAAGTACTGTTTCGGAGAGTTTTAGTGTCCAGGTGGTACTGAAAATGCCAAGAGGCATCTAGATGGGTCTTCTGCATCCCTAGCATGTTAAAAACCTGGCCCAAAGATACCCTTCCAGGAACTTAAAATTATATGACTGCTGTGATCCGGAATATCTGATTATATACAAAATTCAAAGTTATTCTCCCCCACATTGCATCTTGGCAACCTTTCCGTGTTTTTTTCCTCCTCCCTTTTAAGTTCATCGTGCTCACCATTTCCGCCTTACAAGTGGGTTATCATGGACTTCTCTGGTACCTCCTACACAGCTTTTTAAGTTGCATTATTATGAAATGAAGACCACGTAAAGAAAAGAGAACCAAGAATACCAGGCACCAGATGCCTAATAAATGCGAGGCTCCTTTGTCAGTCACAGGGTGCAAAAAGGCTGTAAAGGGTGCCACTGTGAATTGTGCTTATATTTACTCATTTTTACACTCTATTGTGTTACTGGAGTCATGCAACAAGGCTCAAGTGCAAATGAGAATCAGTCCCCTGGCTTGTATTAAGTGTCCTTAAAGTAAACTTTAGACTGTAATTGCCCATAGAAAGGAAACTTACCTTCTGGAACATAAAAAAAAGAACATGACTGCAAAAAACAAGATAGCCAAGCTGGGAGTAGAAATGAAGCTCCACAGTGCACTTGGAGCAGAAAACAGTGGTGAATCAGCTCATTAGTGGTTCTTAATCGCATTAAAGAGACACCATCAAGAGGAAAAGAATTAAGAATTACACCTATCTGCCTGTCTTAAAAGTAGTATTACTACAAAAAGTGCCTCAAGTAATTATACCAAAAAAAGGCAGAAGAAAACAGTGTCTCTAGTCTTCCACTGTTTACGTTCTCCATTTGACAGCAGTTGGCCCTTTTGCTCAGTTCTACTACTGGCGGCTTTGGGCAGGGAGTCCTTCCCACAGCAACCCTGGAATGAAAATATTTGCCAAAAAAAAAAAAAAAAAAAAGTGGTTGCAAACCCACAAAAATTGGCCAGTGTTGGAAGCATGGAAATAGGGCCTGAAACTGCTTAAGCTTTTCTTTAAAGTTCACTAGATTTTTGTTTTGAAAGAGTGCGCTCAATTCTTGAGCGGCACGTAAAGAAAGAATACACGTCTAAGAAAAATAACGAGCTTTCTTTGCAATTTCCGCTATCATTAGCGTCCAATCACAGCTTCAGCCTAGTCCTGCACTGGAATCGTACACATCCCTGCCCTTTCTGGGCACAGGCACCTCTAGAAGGGAACGAGCGCCGGGGTTTGCCCGGCTCGTGGGTGCTGGGTGGGCAGAGCAAATCCCACCGTGGACCGGGAGAAAAATCCACACCCAGAGATGCTCCACTGCCACTGCTGGAAGTCTCATGTATCCCTGGACAGATGCATAACTAAACTCCAGATAACTTCTTTCGTAATTCCGCACGGCCATCTGCCCGACACAACAAATAAACGTCCTGCTCGCTGAGATTTGTGGTCTTGGGAGAAGTCACTTCACTGCTCTTTGTTTCCATGATCCCATCTGTCAAATGGGTTCATACTGCACTTCCCTGTTGGAGAGGGAATTAATGAACATTTGTCAAGCAGGTCGAGGGATGAAAGTTGCTCTGGCAAGGGAAGGACCTACAGCATTCCTATAATAATGGGCTGCGCTCGGAGCTATTTTTTAAAAACATAAAAGAAAATCCTTTCATCGCAGTTAACCGGAGCTCTGCAGGTTACAAACCCCGCGGCGAGGTGCCGCTTTTCGGTTACTCTTCTTGCACTTCTGCTCACCACCGGGAGGGGCTGGGGGGGGGGAGGGAAACAACCCACCCACACCCCCACGTCCCCCGTCCCAAAACCACGGGTTGCTTGGCCGTTGCTTTTGCTGCAGAAACTTGCCGCGGAGCTCGGCGAGGGGCGGGGGGGGGGGGGGGGGGGAAGGCGGCGACGCCAGCCCGGCACCTGCCCGGGCCCCCCCCCCCCCCCCCAGCCCCGGCGGGCCCCGGGGGAGCGGCGGCGCGGCCCTCCTGTCATCCTGACTCTCCTGACTCCATTTTATTCCTGCCCATTCTCCATTTGCCGTGACAGCCCTGTCCGCCCGCCCGCCCGTCCCTGCGCCGTGCCCCGGCCCCCGGCAAGGATGGGGGGGGGGGGGGGGGGGGGGGGGCGCGGGGAGAACTGCAACCCCCGCGGAGTGCAGGAGGAGCGGGGGGGGGGGGGGGAACAACACACACGCCTATTCCCTCTCTCCTCTCCACATCCCCACCCCCCCGCCCCCGGAGCCCGCAGCCTCCCCGGGCCGGGGTGATGGGGAGGCGGGGGGGGGGGGTGTCTCTGCCCGCGGGGCCTCCCCCCCCCCACCCAGCAGACTCCATTTTGCAGATTGTGGTGCGCGCTGGGGAGGATCCCCCCGGCACCACCGCCCTCCATCCCCGCATCCCTCCTCCCCGCGCCCGGGCACAGCCCCGTCCTCCACCCCCCCACCCGGCGCTCCCCCCAAAGCACCGGGGACCTGCACGAACGCGGGTGGGGGAGGAGGGGGGGGGAAGGGAGGGAAGGGGTGGGAGTGTCCCAAAGCGTCGCAAAGGCTGCCCTCCCGTTCATGCACAAGGCACGGATACCCACGCACGCCCGTGACCCCCCCCCCCCCCCCCCCCTCCCTCCCTCCCTCCCTCCTCCTCCTCCTCCTCCCGGGTCACTCACGAAATTGTCGCCGCAGGCGGCCTCCGGGCACAGCACGTAGAAGGAGACGCCGGGCTCGGCGTAGAAGTCCATACGCCGCTCCGTCTCCTCGGCGGCGATGAGCTGGAAGGGCGTGCGGGCGCACCACCGCTCCGCCGCCTCCGCCAGCGCCTCGAAAGCCATCCCCGCGATCCGCCGCCGCGCTCCGCGCCCGCCCGCGCAACCTCCGCGCCCCGCCCCGCCCCGCCCCGCCCCGCCGCGCGCCCCGCCCCCGCGCCTCGCGCCCCGCCGGGGTGGGGAGGAGGAGGAGGAGGAGGAGGAGGAGGAGGAGGAGGGGGGACGGACACAGTGACACACATTTGGTTGCGGGGCGGGTGGTTTGACGCCTCCTGGGGGAGTTTTTGGGGGGAGACAGGCCGGCGCGGACCCGGAGGGGTTTCGCCTCTCGCCCCGCAACCGGTGCCCCCGATTTCATCTTTTCCTAACGAGAAAGCCCGCCCGGCCGTAACCGTTTAGCGGTTAAACGAACCCGTACCCCCCTCGCACCCGGGGAAGGGGAAGCCGCCCAAACGTGGGGTGCTGGGCTTCGTCAAGACGCCGCCGGGTTTCACCCCGTGAGGTTGGGCAGATTTATGGTTGGTGTCAGCAACGCTCTGGGGACCCAGGGGCTTGCGGTCAGGTTCGCCTTGCCCTCCCCAGCAAATCCCAAGCGCTCGTCTACACCTCCAGCAAGGCTCGTGAGATGCGAGAGACCCGCATTTATAAAGGGCCTTTGCTTTGCGTCGGCGCCTGCTGTGCCACAAAGGAAAAAAAAAATCCCCACGGGCCCGGATGGGTTTTCGGCTGGAAGCCCGTGACCTCATAGGGGTGACCAGGTAGCGCAGAGCCCGTACGTGGATGCAGGTAGAAGAGTTTGCAGGAGCAAAGAGAAAAACCTCCACTGGCATTGCAGCCCAGCGCTGAGGTATCGGGAAATACCAGCGACACGAGTGCTCGTGCAACCGTAGCTCAGCCCCCTCGGTGCCTGTGGGATGCGATCGCCTGCTGGTTTTTCCGCCAAAGGATGTTTCATTTATTCCGTGCAGATATTCTGGATGTTGCCCTCGTTCCTGGGGTGCTATTAGAGGTGGCGAGTGCTGAGCACTCCTCGTTGCGCTGGGAGCTGTGCGCTGACGGTGCAAAGCGTGGGACAAATGACAAATAGTTCAAAACTCCAGGCCCAGGTGCCTCGTATCCCAGAATAAGGGGATGCTCTTGCAGGTACTTACCCTGGTCCCCCCTCACCTCCGTTGCCAGGGGAAAATGAGGGAACATCAGTCTCCTACCTACCGCGCCCGCCTGGGGTCGGTGGGTACAGTGATACCCGAAAAGCGCTTGGTATGAAGGGCACCCGTGGAAGATCTGTGGCTTTGCAGGCAGCCGGCGGCTGGAGCAGTGGGTCCTGAACAGCTAGAAAGGAAATCCTAAACCACTCGCCATTTCCCAAAGGAGACAGAGATCCTGCAGAAACCCCACCGTGATCAGAGGCCGTCGGGGCTCTGGGGGCTGGCGAGGCTGCGAGTCCTCTGCAGGGCTTTGCACCTTCAACACTCTTGCAGTGTTGGGTGTTTGGTGGTGGTGGTTTGGTTTGGTTTGGTTTTGTTTTATCTCCAAATGTACTTACATAATTAGCATGAAAATAGGACACGGAAAAATACAGCCCTTTCTCCTAAAACGTGACACTGTCGGCTTGCCTGCAACCGGTGGGCAGGGTGCCACCACGCAAGCAGACGTCTCCCCGCCGCGGCACTCAGCCGCCAAGGTCAACCCCCCATCCCGCCGTCTCTTTGTGCTTCCCCGAGACCCGGCCTTGTTCTCCCTCCTCCCCAAAAACGGTGTTGGCGATGGGTGAGGACGCGGTGGTGGGACCGAAGCCTTGGCCTTTCCTCTCGCTGGCGGGGCCGGCCGTGCGCAGGGTTTGGGGCCCAGATTTGGGGCCCCCCCAGGCGGGGAGCCAGGCAGCCGCGTCCTCCCGGCCGGCAGCGCCCTGGCCCGCAGCAGCTAAGGACGGGTCAAGGCTGCCTTGCAAGCAGCCATAATTTCAAACAAACGAGGTCTCGGTGTTAACACCTATGATTTATGTGCATTTTCAAAGCCCTTCGTGAACGTCTTTTTAGTCCTTAAAACGTCACTTTGAAGTATGTGCTGTTCGTTATCTCTTTTCTGTGAGGTAGGGGAGCTGACAGGTTTTCAATGAGATTTTAAATATCTTATTGCAGCACGCGCTGCAAAATCCTTTGTCACGTCTGACAGCATAGCCACTGAAACCGGACAGCCGTGTTTATCTGTTTATTTACATGTGACAAGTCTCTTTGCCTTTACACCTGTACCCCAAAAGCAGATTATAGAAACAACCCGGTAAAGGATGGTCATTCTGGCAACGCTAGAAAGCCACCTGCAGAAGTGCTGCTTGCAGAGCAAGGCAGGCTCGGTGGCCCTGGCTGTCGCGCCGATGCCAGGGGCCGAGGGATGGCAACGCAGAGACGAAGCAGGCGCGGTGCCCCTGACACCCCTCAAAAGCAGAAGCACTCGCTGCTCGTTTGAGTAGGTGGGCAGGTGGCCAGCAGTGCTGTACTGTGCCTCAGCTTTTCTAAAATACTGTGTAAGTCACGCACATGGTTTTGCTTCAGATTTGCTCCAAATACCAAGGAGTGTCCATGCCCCAAAGGATGGCCACGTAAGGGGAGCAGCTGTCTTCTTGGGAGAGGAGGAGAGGGGAGGTCAAGAAGCTGTCTGCCGTGGCAAGGACAGCTTGCAGAAGGGAAGCCACACCAGAGGGAAGGTATTTCCCCCTACCCTGAGGGGATGCACTTCCATTTCCATCCCCCTCTGGGACACAAACCGCCCTGGTGCTTTCCATCACCCCAATCCAGGCCATCTTGAGGTCAGGGAAATGTTGCTAGATCATTTCAGAGGGATGCTACTAGCCAGTAACTATCGCCTGCTGGAAACAGCATTTCACTTTGAAGAACGTATGGAGAATATTAGTAAGGGAGAGCACACGCACTGCCAGAGCCATGCTAGTTGAATGAGAAATACAAGTATCGGCGTTTTACAGGTGACTTCTGGTTTTATGCAGGTTCTCCACATTGCCAGAATATAAATTGTCAGGCCAAAGGTGAATGACAGCATGAGGATTGAGTGGATAAACCCATTCTCCCATTTGCATGGATTGGAGGAGGTGTGGAAGGGAAGGTTTTTAAAGTATCAGGTGTCCGGTTCCCGGGAGTTACATTTACAAAAGCCTTTGCCTCTGAGATGCCTGGTGCTGAGCACAGTCTAGAAGGCTGGAAACTCGACAGCCCTGTGCTCAAGTGAGGAAGGGAAGAACACCTCACTAGGTGTTTACGGTTCCCCTGTTCCCCAGGACTCAGCGACATTAAATGACACGGGGAAAGGGGATGCAGGAGAGGGGGAGCGAGAAGCTGCGGAAGGTGGAGGAGCAGAAGGGTTTCTGAAATGTGTCAAAGGCAAATTACCTGCAGCTGTGGAGTCTCTCCGAAACACTGAACCACTGTTCTCCTCTACAGCAGGTTAGAAATCTAACAAATCTAGTGCATGGACTGGCCACCTTCAAGATTTTTTTTTCTCTTTTTTTTCTCATGAAGAACCCTCACCGGTCTGCTTTTGGTGAACTGCCAAGCAATTCACATTAATTCGCCTGACCAGCTGTAAGAACCCGACTGCCCTCCCGCAGCCCTCGTTACGCACCCTTCCTGCTGATCTAGATACAGAAAGGTCAGGAGGGTGAGCGCCAGTAAATTCTTAGAGATACACCCTTAATTGCTGTACTGCAACAGCTTGTTCTCTTGCATCTCTACGCTGTCTCCACAGTTTGGTCTCCTAAGGAAAGACTGGTTCCCTTGCTCCAGAAAAGGATCCAGAAGTCCTGGGGGGTGGGTGGAAATGGGCAAGGGGGGCTGATTCCCTGATGGCCAACTCATAGACCTTTTTTACACCACAGACATTGAAAAAGAAAATATTTCTTACAGTACCAGCTCATTTGCAATGTTGCATTTCCCATGTCCGGAGCTTTGACTATTGCACTTGCCTGAGAGGTGCTGAAACAGCTGTCCCTGCAAAGGCCTGATCTGTGCAGGGCTTTCAGTGGTGCTTGCACCATCACAGCTCCACACACGTTTTCACCAAGCCTCTAACAGCATTAAAAGTCCTACTGCAGCACAGCAGCAGTGGGTTCTTCCAGGGGCTCAAGCTGAGTGACTGTTGCTCAGTAGATCAGCTTTTAACTGCCGAGCATCTACACTGAGGTTACTAAAAAGTGACAAATTCCTGGCTGCTATATTATTTCCAACCCATCCATTGGGTGATGCATCCTTCCCAGCACACAACCCCAACCACATCATCGCCTGAGGCTGGAGGCCAGGAGCCAGCACACTGGTATCTTGCAAATTGTTCCCCACCCGACTTCCCTGCTCCTGAGGATACTCAGCTTTACAGAGCATCCAGACAGCAATTTGTGTTTTTCTTGCCTTTAATGAGGAATGTAGCTGTGGCTGTCATCTTTGCTTTGGGTTGCTTTTTTATAGCCCATTGCCATGGTAAATGGAGTTGAGGAAAGAGCAAGAAAACTGTGAAGAATGATCCAAGCCAAGATGTTGTAGAGGGAAGGTGACTTAGAAATGCACGGTTTTTCATTTTAAACTACCAAAAAATATTAGTTAAAAAATTTATACAGAATTAAGATCCTGCTTCTCTCAGAAACCCTGACATCTTCCCTTTGAAGGCAATGGTTGAACATCCTGTTGCTTTGGCAGTAAGAAATCAAGCACATAAATAACGATGAAGATCTGGGCTATGCAAAACCCAGTTGCTAATTAGCAGCCTTCCCTGGTGGCATTGCCTGCTCCAAAATATGAACTTAAATTTTAAAAAGTCATCAAACAACCCCCAGATCTGTCCTCCTCAAAGTCCCTGCTTTGTAGGAATAGGAAGATCATGTGCCAAAAGTGAGGGAGAATATACTGATGCCCTGACATCTTCCTGGTCGTGCAAACAGGCAGTTTTGAAGCCTCTATTGCTCTTGACACCCAGACCAGCAGTATCACACCACGGTGCTGGGTGCTGTGCAGTAACAGTGGAGCATCTCCAGGCTCGATAGTGCTATGCATTTTTTAAAGCGATGGCACATTACATCTGTGAGCTGTGTACTGAAATACGATGGAAATATTTGATGACTCGGCAAACAGGGTGATACAAGAGTCTGGATTTGCCGTGGATCACTTCACCTGGAGCTCTGTAGATATTTTCATCCCTTTATAGTGACCCTCAAAGCCCTGCACGAAGCCTTCATCCTGCTCCATGAGGGTGAAACCAACACCAGCTGGTTTTGAAAGAAGTTGATTTTCCTTGAAACTTTCTGAAGCACAGGCTCTGTACACGCTTAATGTTCAGTGCCCTTTTGAAGACGATGTGACTCATCTCAAAATTAGTTGAGATGGTAGGAACGAAGAGTTGTGAGCCTTTTTGAGGGCCCGCCAGCTGAGGGTCAGCAAGCAGCCAGCCAGACGTGCCCAGAGGTGAGGCTTAGCGAGCGCAGGCTGGCTACAGGAATGGGAGAAACTGCGAGGAGAGCACTGTTCTGCCCTTGCATCTTTTTTGGACGTAGAGGTTGGTACACCACAGTTCCTGTCTTTTTCCCCCGGCAGTATCTGCCAACACTTGTTTATCGTTGGATCTGTGTAGCCATGAGCAGACCGTGTGGCCAGGCAAGCCAAGTGGGGGGTATATTATGACTTGGCTTATTAAGAGCTGAAAGGTGATTTTGCAAAGACCTGAATGTCATAAGGCACCATAATGTCTTCAGGAAAACAAACAGGGCTTTTTTTGTCGATTTGCAATCCTTTATGATATTGAAAGGGCACAGAGCTGCAGACTGTCCCTGATTTTCAGATGATTGCTCCACTAGTATAAAAGATATTCTCATAATAGTCCCAAATTAGTTGATTGCTTGAAGTGCCAGAATCCTTAATGCTCTGCTATTTTAAACATATGGAAATTGATTCAACACTTATCATCTATTTAGAGATGTAAATTTATTGAAAAAGATGCCACTTCTTCCTAAGCTTCAGGCAGGCTCTGATACTTAGCTTTCTGGGCACAAACAGGTTTTTACGAGGACTTGTGATTTTAACTACAGTGATTTATCTTCCTTCTAATGGCTGGGAGAAGCAGAGGGAAATCGACTGTATTGTGTGCAGAGGAAAAAAAGGTAGTGGGACAAGTGCTGGTATGAACTGACACAGACACAGCAGTACCGGGCACATGGTACCCCGAGGGTCTTTTCCCAAGCACAGACACAGGCCCACACCTCGTCCTAACTTCTCTTGCAATTGCTCTGTTGGTAGTTCCACACTGACGTTGGAAACATCACCTGTTTCTGTTACAGTCACTTGCTTTAGGGGAAGAGTGATGAAAAACTGAGTGCAGGCAGTGACAGCAGTGACATCGGCCAGGTCAACACCCCATGGCAAGGGAAGCTCCTCTTCCCAAATTTAGCCTAAGCTTCTAAAAGCAAAAAAAAAAAATCATTCATCTGTAACTAGAAGCTCTTCTCTGAAAGTCAGACTGGTTCCCAGCTTCAGTCTGTTGGGATACCTTCCCGTAGGGGCAAGCCCTGCACTGGTGTCGCAGGCATGAGGCTGCTATAAGGATTATGTGAGAAAATCTGCAGCCTGGTCCTAGCTCTGCTGCCGACAGCCTTCTTTTTGATTTGGCATCGTCACTTAGCACCTTATAAGATGGAGATTTGTGTGTATTACATAGGAATGCTGTTTGTGCCTTAAAGCCTGTGAAAATATAAGTTTCTCCTGTGGAAAAATATTTAAAGAAAGAAAAATGGTTACGTCTCAGCTATTTGATCACGTGTTATTATTCAGCATGATTCATGTATTAATACCATACTGAGAATGTCTTTATAAAGTCTAATATGCTTCTGGGATTAAGCAATATTTCTTAATGCGTTTCTTATCCCAGTATTTTTGCAGAGAAGCTGGAACGGGGCCAGTTCGCGCAAGGTGCCTACACTTCAGTGGTTAGCTCAGGTCAGGAGAGCACTTACAAAGTGAATGCCTCGATCATCCCCACTTACCCTGCTGTGGTTTGCATCAGGGAGAGGGCACATGAGGTGGATGCTCTCAGAGGAGAGGTGGATGGTGCACACGTTGCAATCTCAGCACCCTTCGGCAGTATGGATCTGCTCCCAGGCTGTACAACTTGCCGGCGTAGACACAGCTACAGCATATTTACTGCGCCTTAAAATCTCTTGATGGCATTTGAGAAGTGAGTTCACTGGCTGGATTAACTAACCACCAAACCTGGTATCTTGACTGGCTAGTGTTTAATGGCTTTATTGTCTTCTTTACACCAGTTTGTTTATGATGCTGAGTCCAGCCCTAGTAGTGTGGAAGAAAAATCTGGCTCCATTCCTGAGGTGAAGAACCTTAGTCTTTTGCATAACCCTGAAAGAATTAATTTTGAGTAAGACAGGGTTACCACAGAGCCGGTTTTGGCAAGTGCCCATTCACTTCTGTGGCCAGGTTCAAACAGTATCTTTTCTCCCAGTGGACACTGATGATCTGCCTTGTCTTAAGACACATTAGTTCCCCTTTCAAAAGCACAGGGAACCACCCGAGCCTGCTGCTGCTGAGTGGTCCCCACCCCTACCCTTCCCTTCTGCCTTCGCTCTCCACCATCCAGACCCAAGCAACCAGGTCTCTTCCCTAATTACGTAATGATTGCATAACTAAATATACTTCTTACATCATGAAGGAAAAGGTGACAACCACCAGCATCTCTCAGGGCAGACAAAGCCTCTCCCCCACGCCGGTGACCTCTTACACTGGTTGTGCTGGGCTGCCATGGGGCCACGGTGTCACCCGGCTGGCGGGCCCCCGTGGCTGGCACCTCACCTTCGTGTCCCCTGCACCTCAGTCCCAACAACAGCCCTGCTGTCATCTCCTCTGTGCAAACCACTCCCAAACCTCTCCTCCCATTCAGCTTCCCAATGCGCGCAGGGGCACAGCCTGCGGCTCTGACGTAATTTAAAATTTTAGTATGCATCCCATATGCTTACAGAGTTTTGGCCACCTTAGTTATGTGTGATGAGCATCCGTATCTCGTATTGCAGGCTCTGTTCCTAGCAGACTATCACAATCCCGAGACTTATTTGAAGCGTTGGAGTAAAACCCATGCAGCTCACTGAAGTATTTGATAGCTGTTTTCCTAAGCAGATGCTTGTTTATTTTTGTTAGCGATTATAATGTCTGGCAGTAGGAAAATATTACGAAGGTATCAGAGCTATGGAGGAAAAAGCCAACTCCCAAGTTACAAAAGGGTGATGGCAGAATTTACAGGCTGGCTGGGGTTGCAAAGATATGGACAATTATATCTTATTTGCAACACGCAAGGAATGTTTTCCTTCAGACCAGGTCCTGTACAAGTGTGCCTCAAAGATTTTCACACAGGGTCCTACAATAAAGCTAGCTGGCTTGGGAAGAAATGCAGGTCAAAATTTTCATGCAAAACCTTCAACATGGTATTTAATGCATTTTTACACATTGCCCTTCAGAAAGCCCTGTTTCTACAAAAGTTTGGGAGGATTAAAATCACTGGCAGATGTACCAGAACCTACGGATTCTGTGGGATTTCAACTCAAATTCGTATGATTCCTTCCAAGATATCCCATCAGTTGTTTCATTTAGCTTGTCGGTGCCATTTTTAAAACACACGGTTCAACTAAATCCAACAGCACATTGGAAAAAGTGTCAGCTTCGCTTCCATCCCGTTTCCACCAGCATCTGCCCAAAAAGGGAGACATGGGTACCCCCACTACGCACCGCAAACAAAAACTCACCAGCAGAGCTAAGTGAAACTTAGCAGGGCCAAACCTCTCACCAGAACTCTTGTGCAAATCCCTTCAGCAAGGTATTTGTAACCCACTTTTTCTCCAAATTCCACTTTTCTCCTCCCAGCCACAGGGCAATGGTAGCAATGAATTTTATGTTTTATTTACAATGATGCTGTGAGATCAAGTTAGGCTGGCTCAGGCCACGGCTCAGCAAGAGAGCATCCTCAGTGTACTGAGGTGTTTCACTCTCTCACATCTTGCCCTTTCTTTCTCTCTTGTCCAAAGGAATACTGTTTAGTCCTAGTAAAGGCAAAGCCAAAGAGAGGGGTGGAAGATGGGTCCATTCACAAGGTCTTTGTCATTTACAACGAATTTAGAGCAAGGGTGAATACAGCTAATGCACTTGTAACATTTCGACACCCACCTCCTCTCCTGTAAACTCCTGCAGGACTTTGGCAGCAGAAAGCATACATGTGCTAGAAATAATGGAATTAAAAAAGAAAGCGAGGGTAAGCAGTGGGAATAGGAAGAAACAGCTAAACAGATACCTTTCAATTTATATACACACCCTTCTCACATAAACCAGAGGTAGTTATCAGCTAACTAACTTAACTATTAGTTTGTTAATCAGCTTATCTTCTGAGAACAGGGTTTGGGTGTGCGATATACCGAACAATCAATCACTTTAAGTTCACATGATGTCTGTCCCAGCAATTGCCCAACATCACAGCTTTTATTTTTAAGGCAAGCATCAGCAATGCTCTTTTTCCTTTGATATTAGATGTATTTGTGTGTGTATAAAAAAACCCTGTAAATAACCACGTAGATTCAAAATGTCATCATTCATCGTTAGGAGCTGAAACCGAGACCCTGAGAGTGACCAGCAGAAGCCTTCATCCACCAAGATGCCCATTGCTGGGCAGCTGTGTTTTCCATAGGCTCTCTGACTCAGAGGCTAGCAGGAAATGCATAGCACACTGAACAATGAAGCATGGGCAATTACTGAAAATAAGTGTTCTCCATTACAAGTAATTCCAGGCTACATTACTCTTCGTTTCCAAATTACAAAAAAAAAAAAAAAAACAAAAACCCAAGGAAAAATAAAAAAGACATGCATGGATTATTGAACTTCATTTTTTTTTTTAATTCAAATAAATGGACTTTGAAGGAGGAAAAAAAGACTGTAAAGCTTTGCACAGCAAACTGCTTCTATACATAAACAGACATATAGCTCATCTATAATAAAGCAAACTGTGCAAATCAGCTTCGGCACAGTATCTTCAAAACAGATGTACTACCCACAGTTAAGCTTTGAGCTATTCCGAGCAATGCTGAAGAAAACAAACATTTTCCTATCAGTCTGCCTTCTCAACAAAACCAGTTCAGCCAAGACTTATGACAGGAGGGGGATGCTTTGGTGGAACAAGAAAGGGGAGTGCTGCGCTACACGCTCCTACAAACGTGTGTCTCTGCTCAGGGGACGGGGACGCCTTTCGCCAGGAGGTGACCAGGCTTGTGGTTTAGCTGGAGTGACCCGAGCCCTGCTTGCTCCTGGGGCCGGTAAGCCCTCGGCGGGTGGAAGCTTTTCTGCACAGGACTAAAATTGGAAACACTTGGACATTGCTGCAGTTGTATTTTAAGGCGTCCAACATGGACAAGCAGGTGGCTGAATTTGTCCCTTTGGAAACCAAGCCTTTTTATTAAAACAGAAATCGTAACAATATTTGAAATGATGGTAATCTATTTGAATCAATTTAAATAATTATCATTACTCCTAAAGCAGTTCTAGTTATGGGAAAAGTCATAAGCAGGCCATGTTTGCTGATGAAGTTTCAAGGAAAGTCAAACCACTGAAAAGAAGTCACTGAACAGAAGAAACCAAAGCTGTCTTGAACTGCTAACCTCACCATAGCTAGCAGGCAGCTCTCCCACGAATGCAAAGAAATATTTACTCAGTTTCAGTTCATTCAGATAATTGCATTCCATATGCACTGTTAATTCACATTTAAACTAATTGGCATATAAAAGATGCTCCTACTTTATGTGGAAAAATGAGCGTAAAGGAGCAAGATCTGCTAGTGCTAAAATCCTGCAGGATTAGAACCTATCAGGAATACTCAGGAATACTTTCTTTCATGAACAGTTTTGATCAAAATGTATTTTAATTGACTTATTTCTCCAGCATAGAACCATAGAAAGGTTTGGGTTGGAAGGGACCTTAAAGATCACCCAGTCCCACCCCCCTGCCCCGGGCAGGGCCCCCTTCCCCCAGCCCAGGGGGCTCCCAGCCCCGTCCAACCTGGCCTTGAACCCTTCCAGGGAGGGGGCAGCCACAGCTGCTCTGGGCACCCTGGGCCAGCGCCTCACCCCCCGCACAGGGAACAATTTCTGCCTTACATCTAATCTAAACCTGCCCTCTTTCAGTTTAAAACCATTACCCTGAATCCTATCCCTACACCCCCTGACACAGAGTCCCTCCCCACCTTTCCTGTAGGTCCCTTTTAGGTACTGGAAGGCCACTATAAGGTCCCCCTGGAACCTTCTCTGCTCCAGGCTGAACCCCCCCAACTCTCTCAGCAGGTCCCCACAGAGGAGCTGCTCCAGCTCCTGAGCATCTTCATGGCCTCCTCTGGAGCTGCTTGAGCAGGTCCACGTCCTTCTCATGTTGGGGACCCCAGAGCTGAACATGTTAAAGATATTGCTAACTAATTAAAAGAAGTCTAATTAACTGCTTTTCTGCAAGGATTTGAATTCCAATTTCCATCTGAATAAAACTTGCTGCAAGATCTAACAGGAGCAGATAGACAACGTTTACTATTTCTTAGTGCATGAAACATAAAATTTTAAAAGCCCCAATGAAAACATCAGGCTGGCGATGGCTTTAAACCAGACTCACGTGTGTATTTAGAACGAGGAAAAAAAGCGGTGCCCGCTCCTACTGATCTTACAAGTTGCCTGCTGAAGTCTCCACATGGTTCACCCTCGAAAAACACATTCCACGCACCTTTGAGAGCTGTGGGAAGGGTGGGGATCCCGGAGGGCTTCTCAGGCAGGAGATGCCGGGAGCCCCTCAGGGCACAGTGGCAGGGAGGGGACAGGCTGGGTCACACAGGCGTGGGGACTGGCTTGCTGACGCCCACCACGTTACTCACCAGCCCCGTGGGAAGCCAGATGATGCCGTCCGGGACGTGCAGCTGAACAGCTCAGAGACAGTAGGCTGGTCACCCTCGATACGATGCATCTCCAGGGGATGCGAAGGATGGACAAATGTACTTTAAAAGTGGTGGAGATGTGTGAAAATATGTTGATTTTGGCTGCCAACAAACAGGGAGGGGAAGAAATCTTTTAGGGAGGGACAGCAGGGCAACGTGACTTGGAGTACAAATACAAAACAAGGCAGAAATTCATTCCCTGAATGAAGCTTTCCCACTTGCTGATCTAAAGCATAATTAAATTGGTGATTCAAATCAATGCAGCCTGGTATTGTCTTATCCTCTTAAGTTTCACATACTTTATTTACACATAATTAGTGAACTTCCTATGACGCGTCCTGGATTTTTAGAGTGCGTGTGCAGCAAGTGAATGATAAGCAGTGAAAATGCTGCACTGATGCTTTTCCATCTAAGCACAAATATTGTCAACAGAACTCAGGAGTAAGCTCCAGTAATGGGGAAATGGCATCGAGAAGTATCTCCCTGCTTATTCAGATCTTCAGCTGGGGAAAAGTCAGGAGCAGTATTAGCATTAATTAGACCGCCAACTACCATGAAGATCTCCTGCGCCAAAGTGTAAAATCACAAATTGGTACAACCTTGTTAAAACAGAGCACTTTTACGGTCAGAGGAAGAAAAGGGAGGAAAAAAAAGAAAAAAAAAAAAAAAAAAGAGAGAGCAATTGTGGCTTTACATCAAGTATATTTCATAACTTTCTGTTAAAATATGTACCCACATCACAAAACAATTTAAAAAAAACAAGTATTTTAAAATGTATGTACAATAATGCAAAAATATGCCTGAATATGTATCTAATGCAAAAAAATAAACCATTTAATAAAATCTCCGTTCAAATGTCCCCTTGCTCTTCAACACCTTAAAAAATAAAGGAAAGAGCTCAGTAAACAAACAGGAGTCAAAACACAAACTAACAGACAGACAAAAGCAGTGCAAAGCAGACACTTAAGAAGGGAGAGGCATCCCACTTGGCTTCCCATTCCCTGGGATTACACCACAGCGCTGGTGCCACTTGTCCTATGCTAGTTGAGTTTTGGTTTTAAAATGTCAGCCCGCTGTTCAAGCTGTAAGAGGCCGCCTGTGGCACTCATTTTCCAGGCAAGCAAGAAGTTAATGATAATCCACCTAAGCACCCTTTAAACCCCCTTAAACAGAGGTGAATTTCATCCTAGGCAAATATTTCATGTTCTGTGTACTCCTGCCAAGCACAGAGATCCCATCCAACAAACAATATGGACTAAAGTCTACCTGGACAACTGTGGTGGGAGAGAGACTGTTTCATAGTTAACTGCTTAATCATCTCTTCTTTCTGCATTCTCTAGGAAACTGCAAAGAGGGCTCTGATCTTACAGTTTCAGTAAGGCCAAAATATTGTATTTGTGACATTACAATTTCACCGGTAATGGGGCTCCTCAATCTTTCTGAAGACTGGGTCCGAGTGTCTGAGTTAAATGAGACACTTCAGTTGCAAGAGAAAATGCTGATCTGGTTCTAATTTGGATGTGTTCAGGTGACTGATGTATATCCTTTATCTTTCCAGAATAACTGTCCTCAGAGAACAGCTGGCTGTATATGAAATACAGCTCTTGTTCGCCAAAGTAATCTGAGGAGGTCTCAGTATTGCTCCCTATAGGAAAGTTGGCAGGAATGGAAGCACTATTTAAAAAACCTGCTTATAAGGCACTGGTGCAGCAAGGTTTGCAATGAACATGATTTTATAATTTCTATTTTCCAACTGTTTAAAAGTAAGTCCATTAAATCAAACATAAATAGCAATTAAAAGTCCCAAACCAAAGAAATCAACTTAGTATTAAAACTTAATTTACGACAGTCCCACTTCAGTGCACACACTAGCTCCTGCATATTTTTTTAAACTCATTGTTGGCTCATGCTCACCCTATATACAGAAGCGTCCCCCCCTAGTCATGATGGGCTGAGTATCTTCTACAAACAAGACATTTTCAGATGGTATCATATAGTTACACATTAAACTTACAGATGATGGACAGGAACATAGGAAGATATATTGGCTCACCCACTGTACATGTCTAAAGTTTTAGAAGAATAAGAATATCCACAAAATATACACTTAATTCACAAAGTAAAACAGCCCTCAACATCTGCTATTTTGTAGGCCTATGCATTTCTTCTATTGAAATTCCACACATGGAACTATCTCTGTGCCAGCTCCTCTTCCTAAGCAATAGGATTACTTCAAGGTAAATTAGTTCTTCATGTATATGTAACAGAAACAGCAAAAGCTCAGCCTCTAGTCATCACTGTCGCTCCCAGACTCACTCAACTGCAAGTCATTTCCTATGGAAAACAAAAAACAACAAAACACAACACGTGAGTAGGCGTTAATTCACATTTCATGGCAGTCAAACCAAAGAACAGTCACATTTGCACTGGAAGATTTAAATAAGAATAACACAAGAAATGAATGCAGACCTCATCTGTCTTTTAATGGAACTGCTCTCTATGCCCAAGAGCATTCAGAGTGGCATGGGGCTAACAGACGGTCGGACCCGGGCCAAACCCGGTGTCCTTGGCTCCACAGCCACCAAAGCTGCTCCCTGGTGCTCCCACACTGGCTGTTGCTCCACCCGGCCAAGCTCCTGGGTATAGCTCTGGGACAAGGTGTTGGGGAAACCCCTGGCTTTCTCAGCCCTTTTAAAATAGATTTTTTTGTTTTAAGGCCATTTGGGTACGCAAGGCAAGGCCTCCACATGTCAATAAACTAAAAGGAATGTTAAAGCCATCGCAATTTTAAGGCTATCAGCTGAACTAAGCTGGCAAATGTTGTGATGCTGAAGGCCCCCCCTCCAAAGTGCGAAGAGAGATTAGACAAAAGAAGACCAGGATATGAATCAAACCTACAGTCTCAGACCCTGTTTTGCAGAGCACTTGTGATTTGGTGAGGTGGAAGGGATAAAAGGGGACAAGAATCATGCTTGTGTTCTGGTAACCAAGCCCAGCTCTTCCAGAATTCTCCCACGGCCCTGCCCCAGACAAATGGCTATGCCCTTCATCTCCTCTCTCCTTTTATAGAACAAGAACTTAAGCTAGGGGTGATTCTCCCCACGTAAATGGTCGCTTGAATGCTCAAGGACATATTAATCCTTGGTAAAAGGATTTTAAGTCCAAAGGCAAAAATCATTGCCTGAAAAAAGGAGCTACCCCATGAGTACCCAAATTTTCCTGGAGTCAGAGGCTTCTGGATGTTCAGTGACTTATGCAGTATTGCTGTCATGGCCCAGGAGAAGCAGGGAAGAGGCAGCTCGCAACCAGAAACAGTGAAATGGAAAGAGTCCTACTGACATTGTTGAACTTTGGATTTCACTTAGACATTCATTACTGACAGGATGACTGACAGGCCTCTCCAGTTTTCCACAGGAGGCCTTTTCAGTATCGTCTGTATAATATAATTGTCTTATTGAAGCTGGAAACCTACATTTATCTGTATTTAAACTCCACCAGTTCCTAATGTGTGGGTGCCAAGAGATGTACGCAAACATGCCTCAGGAGGAATTAAGAACAATTTATGATAACTAAGTTCTGGTTTCTTGCAAATGCAGTATTTTAACTCCACTGAGTTAGAATATACCTGATCTAGCATAAGGAAAGAGCAACACATACGTACACCATCTACCCAGAGAAAGTCTCATAGGACAAAACTATGCTTTAAAAATGTTTCTTACACTTTTTAAAGGGTGAATTCGTACCGATTCAATGCTGGAGAACACCATAGCTGTAGTATTTTAACCAAATACATGACACTTCAAATTTCCCTTCAAAATGTGATATTTGTGAAAATGCATCTGAGACTAACACAGTATAGCGTAAATACTCTGACAAAGCAATACAGCTAATAACAAAGACCACAGAGATTATGCATTTATGACTACAGGACAGCCTTGTACCATTCACAATTCTTTACAGACCTTTAACTGACACATGTGACAACCCCACTGTTTATGTCTAATCTGTGTTTTCACATTAAAATAATTCCCGTCCTCTGGTGCACCAGATCCTCTGACACTGATGCTTTTCTACCCACTTATTCCACCTGGGGGTCTGAACCAAGGCTCAGCACAGTCAACGGGGGGCATTGCACTGATGCCCACAGGCTCTAGACCCAAACTGAAGCAATCTCCACACCTTCAGACAGGTCTCAGCTCTCTGTTCAAAAAACCTGCCCACATGTTTCAGCCAGAGAAACTCCCCAAGATGGCAAACTGCACTCCACGGAGTTAGCCTAACATGCTAAGAAAATGAGTGGTCTCAAGCACCTTCCCACAGCGGTAAGACACAAGCCTTTACTCACGGAGCGTGTTCATGAGCTGATTGCTTCCTTGTGGTCTGCTGGTGCCATTAGCAACAGCATTCCTGTTGTTGTACTGCTGGTGCGGTGGCTGGGAAGGGGAAACATGTGCTGGCTCTTCCCCCTCACTGCTGGAGCTTTCATCTTCACTCCCAGATGAGTTTTCTGAATCCGATGAGCTGCTTCCACTGCTGCTGCTCATCTGCTCGATAATCTCAACCTCTGCTCTCAGCTCTGAAATAAAAGGACATTCATGTGGCTGAAAACATAAACAGGGCCCCATGGAATTTTGGAAAAGAATGTGAAAATGCAATAGTTTTGTCAAGTATAATTTATCACATCAAAATATCTCACATGAAAGTGAGAGGCAGGAAGAAAACCCAAAACATTCTGAAAACTTTTTTACTTAGTTGTTGTAGCTGAATTTAAAGATGTAACAGCATAGGTTAGTATCATAAAACCTTCACTTCCACTATTACTATTTATATACTTTACGCTCCTGAAAGTACTTCCTGCTTCATTATTTTCAGCAGGTTATATGCTCCACATACAAAAGTACACACCCTGAGTAACTTTTATAGGCCAACATCCAGCCTGTTTTTTAAAAGCATCTTAACATGAAGGAATCTAAATTGGAAGATGTCAGTGACATTTAGGCTTTTGAAAAACATAAAAAGGCAGAGCTGGCGGAGCATAGGCACATGGGCACAATGGAAACTGCCTTGACTTCATGTAATGTACGAAACTGTTCCAGCGCAAAGTCACACAACTTATTTTTAACAAACTTCAAAAGCAGATGGATGACATCAGATAACTTTGCAGTGGGGCAGATGAGAATATTCACATGTTGGGGAGTGGTAATAATACCTTAACACACTATACAGCTTACAAGTAGCCAGGAAAATACAGGGACTACTCTGGAACAGGGAAATTATTCAAGTCAAACACACCCAACTTCAGGGTTTCCAGTGCAAAGAAACACTGGAATACCATGACAGCACCATGACAGCCAGTGTTGACTGAACAACTGGTTACAAAACAGTTATTAATGTAAGTCACCACAAATCATACCAAATTGTTAAATTTGACATAAGTGGCCTAAACACTATTAGAGGACAATTCTTTTGTATCCACCCACAAAGCTGAGTATCTAATGACTCAGTTCATCTAGGCAGGTTTTCATGAGAGAACAATACTCACACATATGTTAAGCATAGGATGTAAAGCCTTCAAAATTTAAGCTTTTATTGTGTTAGCAGTTCTATACCCACAGGGTTAGAACTCAGAGCTTGCCCTGCAGAAGTCACAGGCTAAAGGGACAAGAATGAAAGAAGGGCGAGATGAGGTACTGTCATCTCTACCTGACAAACGGAGATCTGATGCCAGAAGTAATTCACCTTATGTCAGATGGGTGTCAGAGTGAGATGAACACCAGCCCCTCAGCTGGGGGCATCCTTCTTGTGTATGGCATAGCAGCCAGATCATGTAAAATGAGTCTTTACATAAAGATGGCACAGTTTTAATGCTTCTTATCTTCAGACCCTGCAGGAGTGAGTCTGAACAACTGGAAATCTCTTTTTTTAATAAGACCCATTTTCTTTGGGCTGCTTAATGATACAAAGTAACAGCTAAGTTTTCAGCCTCCACATTATTTGCTGGAGAGAGTTCCTCTAGCTCAGCATGTATTGGTTTCAGAAATTAAAGGGTTTTTTGCCGGTTTTAAAACTGCTACTTTTCAGTTTCAAAGCTCAGGGCCCAATTTCAAGTGCTATAGTTACAGAATCAAAGGTAAGAAAGGCATATTGAAAGGGAACAACCACGTGACTAACTCCAGCTTGGTATTTAAGGATAGTGGGGTTGCTCCCCCAACTTACTTTCTAAATCTAGACCCAACTAGATTGCCTGTGCTTTTTGTACTTTATTAGTATGCCAGGTAAAACTTACTCTTTAATCTTGAAGAGACAGTGTAAGAGACCATGGGAGGAGGGAGGAAGAATATGTGATTAAGCCAAGAGCAGATATTACATTGTACTGTAAGCTCTTTCTCCCTTATTCCTTCCCAACACAGTCTTGCAGGCTTTAAAAATCCATTTCACACCTGGAGTCTTACACACAGACAAATGAGTGCTTGTATGTCACTGTTCTCAGCCTACTCATATCGAAGATTTCAAATTGTAAATGTTCACTGTGTTCAAGGCTAAGAAATTCATAGGGGAAAGCTAAAGGAAAAGTAAACAGGAATAAGGGTTCTTTCCCTTTAAAATGGCCAGATTTAAATTTTTTTTCTCCCTAGCTTAATGATGTAAAATTTCTACATACTTCTAATGATGCAGTTGTTAGTTGTAAGTTATAGCGATGATAATAATACATCTTGGATTGTAGCAAGTACAGTCACCTATAGACCACAGTTAGGATTGCAAAAAGATTCAATAAACAAGGCTAACGAAGGACAAGTGTCTGAGAATTACACATGTATGCTTATGGAGCTAGAGCGTCTATGGCTGAGATGGAGGAGTGTTGGCACATGGGCTGAGAAGAACATGGCAGCCCAGAAAGCAGCATATAAAATAGTGTGAAAAAGGTGAAGCAATCTAAGAGGCATTGGTGGTGAAAGGGAAAAGATGCAACAAGAAATGCACTCCAGGGAACTAGGAAAAAAAAAAAAAAAACCACACACAACATCTAGACAAGAATTTTGAACTTGGTACAGTAGGTGAGGAGATACATGAAGGAAGGAAATGATGCAGTCTGACAAATGTGAAAGGAAGATTAGCCTGGCTAATTTTAAGCAGAATTAGAGATTAGTGTCTGATTGAAAAGTGAGGATTTTCTGCTGAGGAAGCAGAGAACTAAGAGCCCATAAAAGAGGTTTGGTTATCAAGAGTTAAAGGGATAATGCCTTGGAAGAAGCGGTAAGACCCACTATGCAGAATGCAGACAGGAAAAGCAAACCAGCACCAATATCACAGGCTTCAAGGACCGGGAAGTTAAGGGTGTTATCAGTGACAATGGTCACTAGTGGAAACAGGCTGAGCCTGTCTTCTAGTCAACTTTTGCCTCACAGACTGTCAGCTTCCTCTTAAGTCTCTCTTGTCTCTTAATTCCTTGAGCCCAAAATGCTAAACATTTCCTCTGTGCAGATGAGAAAAAAGTAATTGTTTCCACTAATGTTACGGTGGCTGCTGCATCTCTAAAAGTCTGTCAGGCAGAACTCCAGGGGGACCACTAAGGAAGTCTGTTCAAAACCCTCTTGTGTCATACCATCAAAGATGGTGACTAAGACAATGATGACACCAAAGCCTTGTAGGAAACCACATCTGCTTCAAAATTTTCCAATTTTGCATTTTCCTATTTGCCTGTTACGCTTAGTGCAGTTACAGGTACTGAAGCCATGGCTAAATGTTTCCTCGTGGTGCCTCCAATTAAAACTGTTGTCTGTGTATACCTGTGCATATATGCTAAGCTGACCAATGAAAGAATCAGACCTCCCCAAGATCTTTTTGTGCTGTAAGATCTAACACCTCATGCTGATGCACCTTTAAGGTTTAAAAGATGACAAGAGTCAGGATGAGCAGCAGTTACTTTTAAAAAAGCTTTCCATACAGTAGTTCTGAACACTTGTCTTAACTGAGTCTACATCATCTGAAGAAGCTGACGTTGACATGGGAACCTTAACTTTTGCACATTTCACACTACAACTGTAGGTTTTCCTTCAAGAACACAAAATGGCTTACTGTTTTACACTAGCAGTCAATGCAGTTTTTAAAGTAAAAAAATTCAAGATCAGAAATCGTTAAAGAAACAGAACAACCTTTCTCAACAAGGCTGTCTTTTGTATATATTCAGTATCAAATGTCCTAATTTCTTTCCATAATCATGTCTAAGGGTTCTTACTACTTCGCTCAGTTGCAATAGTCTATGCAGGAATTTTAACTAAAGCCCTAACCTTGGGCTGCAATAATAACAAGAACTTTTGGAAATAAATTCAGCTTTAGGGAGGATAAGGTTGTATGCCCACAGCAGAGTGCTTACTGTTAATAACGGTATGCAAGGTGGAGCGAAATCAACTTGATACTGGCACTTTGAGCATGCAGAAATGGCAGCGAGAAGAAGCAGTATTTTACACCGAAGTGCAAAAAATTTGATTGAGGTGTTCTCGAAAGACAAACACAGTGCTGTGGCATAATCCTTACACACTATGGCTGCATTTTAGGTAAACAAGATCTGCTCAGATTTTTAAGCACTGAATTTGCAGTCTCCAAACCAGAAATATGCTGCTGTGTTTTGGTTTTTTTTTTTTTTTTTCCAAGTACAGCATGCTGTAATTATGCCAGTATTATTGAAAACATTTCTGTTGTGGTCAAGTATGTCTGATAAACACTGATTATTTCAGGCACATAAATGGCTGTATTGTGGTAGATGTGTGCAAATGTTCACCACTTAATGAAACGTTATCAGATGTAGCTAAGTACTCAAAACAACGAGCTCTTACCCTCTCTTTCGCTCCCTTCATGCACAAAGGCAATATAAAAGCTTGCAGGAGAAAAGATTCCTCTGGTGCAGGACCCTAGACCCAGCCTCCCAAAGGCCTCTCTGCACGAAGGAAAGGACTGGTTCAACTCCCACATGCTCTGACTGTCCTTGGGCACTGTTGTTCGGACAGCTGGGTAACAGGACAGAGAACTACCTACCTGAAAGTTTGTTTCCCAGCTCACCTGTAAGGGGAGCTACCAGGGCAAAGCAAAAACGTGCACTGAGGTTACCTGAAAACTACTGTTAAACATCACAAGGGCTGTGTGTCTTACCACAATCTTAAGTAGGGCATACTAGGAGCAAGAGAGAGTCATAGCACCAGAGATCCTTTCAATCACCTCCTTTGGGGACTGTAAATTCTGTGCTGTGTCCGTTAAAGAAAAAACACAGAATTTCAGCTTTATCTTTCCTTCATACAAAGGAGTTACTTCACCCAAAAGGAAAGCTACCTCTCCAGTGGAAAGAACACGGTCTCTTCAGAACTTACAAGCCTTTGTTCATAAAAAGACACATTAAGGGAAGATAACAGAACTGAAGACGATCTCACAGCTTTTACAGTTACGTTCTCTTAATTATTTTCATTGTAGAACTGTGCCATACTAGTTCTACCTTTCCCAAGTAGGTTCTCATGATATAAATGGTTTAGTAATGCTGATACTCCAAATAATCAATGCTGGAAAGAAGTTATAAAATGCATATACTATAAGTAAAAAAAAAACCCTGCTCAAGTATTTGCACTCTTTTTTGGGCCTTGAACAACTCTTCCCTATAAAACACCAACTATAAGTCCTATTTTTAGCACAAGTTAGGTGTTCTTTTGCTTGATTTTGGAAACAAAACTCTACAGTGGTTATTTATTCAGAGTTACTTTTCCAATAAAAAATGATCAGGTGGTAAAAAATTACTAGGAGAGTTATAAACAATGTGACATATATTTTAGACCATTAGAAAATGGTCTTTGTGGAATAAGTGTCACACCAGACAAAAGCAATTATATTACTATTACATCGAGCAAATTGTAAAGGTAATGTTTACAAAAAAATGCCCCAATGGTTAAGTAACTTAATACACACATTTAAAATTCACAACTGATTCAATTTTTAAATTCATGTATCACCTGTTATCTTCCTCCTTACCTATTACACAGAAAATAAAAATGGCAATGCAGCTAGGGGAACTGTAGCTAACAGACTCTCAGACATTGATTCCATCTGTTGGCCAGCATCCAGGTATTGAAAATACTACTGTTGCGAAAAAGTGAGACTAGTCAGCACCTATGCAAACACAGATAGCTTAGCAGTAAAAACGTCACCTAGTGATTACCATGAACTGAAAAAATATTCTGATCAGTAATTAACATAGCCTGGGCAATTAATATAGACTAAGTCTACAAGCTAAAATAGCTATATGGGACAGAGATAAAAAGAGAAAGAAAAAGAGACCCAGAAAAAAAAAAATACTAGACAGAAAAAAAAATCTTAAAATAAAATAATCTGGTACAAGACAAGAAACACAAGAGAACCAAAAAAAAATTTAAAGTCTTCCTCATTCTGACTGTGTTGTCCACAGCAAAACCCATTATCACACCAGTATGAAAGGAGGGATGTGGGCAAAGAAAGTGCACCCTGCCCACAGTGAAACACTGAGACAAAGTGTTTCCCACTGCTTCAGCAGGAGACTGAGTCAAACCAGTCATCCCTTCAAGGTACTTTAACAGAAACATAGCAACTATATGGCAGATGTGATCAAAGCTGCAGAGGAGTGGTTGTGGTAAAGGGGAAGCTGCAGGGTTGTTCACTTTCATCCCTCCCCTACTAGCACTACTTAGCATGCTATATGCTCGAGGTCTTCTGATGGGAACACAGCCACCCAGCCCTTCCATCCCACTGGCAAATGGCTCCAACCTTACTCAGTGCAGGAATAACTTTCATCCAAGTTACTTGATTGCATAACTAGATCTTGGACCATTAGCTTTTGTTGTTGTTGTTATCGTTGCCTGAGACACCCATTCGACTTGTCCAGCACTCAGCTCCAGGTTTCTGAATTCATGCTTATTTTGTCTTCTTTTCAGAGCAGAGAAATAGTTTTGAAGAGGGAAAATAATCCGAAAAGAGGAAGTTCTCGCATGCCAGAGAAGACTGCAGTATAAGTATCTATGCTGGCAGAAAAGAATAAATAATTCACTAAGATGCCTTAAAATAAGATATAAAGATGACAAACCAGCTGTCAAGTACCATCTTTTAATCCCTGAACATTCTAAAGTTTTTATAAATTGCAGAGTCATAGTTTTTATTATAAAGAAGAAAGACAAAACCAGCCAAAACTCAGGAAACTACAAACCCTTCTTTACCTCGCTTAATGTCATCCAGCTGAGGCTCAGGCGAAGGATTATCTTTCAGAGGAGAAGTTTTAGGTCCAACTGCTGGCTTGGTTGGGGCTCTGAACTGTGAAGGAGGCTGAGATGCTCGAGCAGACTGTTGTTCTATTCGAGCTTGGATCTTACTGCTTCCCTCTGCTCTGAAAAAACAACCAGAGACGTTCAGTGGTACTGTGCAACTATGTTCAGCTTTTTCAATATCCTTGTACTAATGTATCATCTATGACTTCCTTTTGTAGGGATCTCTACTTTGTTTTATAAACAGTGAATTACAGCTTTCTGTATGCAACACTTGCTTTCAATAACAAATAAACATATACAACTACACTGCAATATCCTTACAAAATGTATTTTCAAATCCAGATGTGGTTCAGTGGTGCCAAATTCTCTACTTGAAGAACAACGAAGGCTTTAATTTAGCAATCAGTATTTGTATTTTTAAAAAACAATAAGCAATCATAGTAATTTAAAGTAACTACATAATAAAACAAATCCACTCAGAACAAAATCCTGCTTAAAACAATCATAGCAAAAGAAACAATTTTCTCTCTTGCAATTAAATCATCTCAAACAGAACTCTCTTAGAGGTCAACCTGACTAGAGCAATCATTCTTACTGCCAAATACAGCATGCAAGCCATTTAATTCCTGCTTTTCATTCATTTGCTATTATCCTTTAAAAATAGTTTAAGCTGTTTCCTTAGCGGGAAACGGTCTCCAGAATAACGCTATGCCTAGCTGTTCAATTCAAATCAGGTATTTCTTCCTTTCACTGAATCACTGATGTGACTGAGACTGTCGGGCAGTCAATATCCTTGGCAGAAAAAACACCCCCCAACAAAACACTTATTCAGGTCCCTCTATGGCACACCATAATGAGGTTAAAGCGTGTGCTGTATATGTCACCTCACACCAAAGCCTTTGGGGGTATGGCTTTATGTAGTGCAGCCAAGAAGCAGCTTATGTGGGTATTAGAGCTCAGTTTTGGTTCTAGGAGGGTCCCAGCTCAGCAGTGTGACACTTTGTGCCCATGAGTAAACTAATCCCATGGAGAAACAAGTTAAACTAGCCCATGCAGAACCTTCTGGACTTCACATGAATAGTGTCTAGTATCCAAACTAGTACATTTAGCACTAACTCAGGTATCTCTGTAGATGCAACCTCACAAATTAAGCACTGAACCACCTCTTCGTCCATCACTGAAATGCAGCTATTAGATAACACATTAATGCACCTTACACAGTCATTTACAGTAGGATTGAGGATTTGGGAATACACTCACTGTATCAAGTGAAAGGTAAAAGCAAAAGACTGTTTCCAGTATTATTTAGGCTCTTGGAACTACAGAAGGTTTTATGTAGAAAAAGTGCAATTACTCCCCCATGAATGCCATCAGGACATTAACACTAAAACCTCTCCTCCCCCACAGTGTCAACAAGTCGTTAAAGATCAAAGCAGCCATTAAAAAAAAAAAGACAACACTTCTGATCTGGAAAACTTAGTGACTTTGCAAAGCACTACTCCTCAAACAGAGATCTCCAATTGCTTACTGCCCTGCCTCTGCTTGAAAAAAGTTGAAATATTTTTCACCTCACCAGGGTAAAACTCAGTGCATTCAAACACCTCACTGAACCCAAGCCATCCTGAACTTCTTTGCTCATTTCTGACTTAAGCTTCACCTGGGCAAAGTCCAGCAGGACTTAAACTGGGAATTCAAATCTCATCTATGACGTGCTCATATCCACTGGATGAATGCCACATGGATGAGTTTTCACATCACTGTGTCAGAGGAGTGTTACTGTCCACTTACCTTGATCTCAAGGTGTTATTGACAAGCTTCCAGCCAACTGCTGATGAGCTGCAAATCACATTTTCAGTAGTTTTAGCAGCTAAAAGTTCTACACTGCAATAAAGTGTTTTGTTTTGTTTTTAAATGTAAAACTTGTAAAATTATTTAAGAGTTTCTTCTTCATGAGACATTTCAGTAATTGCTTTCTCTTTAGATCTCAATAACCTGTGATCCAGTGATGCTGAAAAAACATGATCCAGAGGCGTCATGTACTTGCAGAGCAGCTAGACTACTGAAAATGTTCCAACTGCACATGTTGTAGCATTTGGGCAGTGAAGAAAGAATACTGGGTCGGAGAGGATGTCCAGCCTCAGTGATTCCTCTAGGCAAAACCTCATAACGTATTTCTACAGTTTGTGTCCCCCCCCTGAGCTGGATGCATTGGACTTGTGTTCCACTTTATATATCACTTACCCAGTACAGGGATGAGTGTTTCTTGTTCCCTGACTGTATTATTAAAGCATCATGAATCCCATGGGAAACTGTAGGGAACAAACCCAGAAAAGTCTAACAATCCTTTTGACAACCTAGTATTTCCATGGTCTTTTTCAGCTAGCTAGAGATTCCTGAAACACATCCCATCCTTCAGCCAGCTTCCAAAGCTTCAAATCGTCAGAGGTGTTTCACTCCAAACTATAATTATGTCCTTTCAGCAGTGGAGAATTGACAAATTCTTCTACTCTTGAATTCACACTCTTATTTGAATTTTTAGGCAAGATAATTGGCCATGTAAAGCCCATAAGGCTTAGTAATTAATCACTACAAAATAAAACTGAATTCTGGTTCAAAAGAGTCTGAAGAAGAAACCTCAGCAAGAATTAACCCTATCAACAGCCCTATCCCCAGCTTTACCTTGTTTTCTTGACTTGAATGCTGCTATTAAGTTTTTCCAGCATATATTCCCCAGTATCATGATTGACAATAAGCACACAGTCCTTCTGATATGGCCTTTTATTTCCTTTAAACACAGTCATTGGTGGAGTTGAACCCTGGTATCAAAGAAAGAGCATACATTTGTTTGGTTATTTTCCCCTACCCAAAAGTTTATAAACACTCAGAGAAATTAATACATGCATTGTTCTGACCAAGAGGCTAAGCAGTTAGTGTTTAGTTCCTATAGAACATATTCATTCATGAAAAAGGAAACATACAGTTATATGCAGTAGATCAGACATTTCCTCATAGCAATATTATGCCTTTCATCATTTTAAGTGTCTCTGCAGTGACAAAACATCTCCATGGTTGCCATTATTTACAGTTCTCATTCCCAAAATGGTAACATAACTGAATTTACATAGCTGGCCCTGACAAGTGTCAGAAATCTTCTTGACACTTCTCCTCTGGAAATCTCAGATTTGGATAAGAAATAAAGTTCTAATTATTCGTGTAGCAGAACTGTTGCCTAAAGAAATATGTGGTCAATTGAAAAAGAATTTTAACTGCTTTGTATTTTATATATATATATACATGGCAGTATTTTAATTACAAGCAACTGTCACAAACTATGTAAGAACAGCTGCTTTCTTCAAAGTCAGACTAGCATGTAAATGCCATGCAATCATACCAAAACGTCTTCTCAAAAGTAAATGGCTTATTTTAATGCCTTCCAGAAAGTCCCCAAGTCCACACAGTGCTGCATAGAACCACAGACGTCTAAATGCTTAGACTGAGAAGCAATAAAGACAAACTCATGTGGTGGTGCACGCTGGCTAACTGATATTGCTGAGATTGTGCTCAGCTGTACTGCATCCATGCACAGGTGGGCTCATATCCCTGGTTTTGGGGCTACAGAAGGCAGTCTATGGTCTGCCTGCACACAGCAGTATGGACACATACCTGGCCATGTCAAAATAGGACAGAAATCTGTTCTCAGCTATGAAACCACCCCAGACTTCTCTGTAATGTATAGCTACTGTACGAAAGAAATAATAAAAAAAAAATTTACTCATGTGCACCTTTGCACTAGCTATAGGAAAGCAACCAAAATCAGGGAGGAAAGGAAGAAACCCACTCTCTTACATTTTGTTGAGTAGCAAAAATGAACAATCATATTTTAACCACTCAGAATGTAATTCCTGTTCTCCATATTGCAAATAAGTAGAATATGTTTGAATTTAAAATGGCTTTAGAACTGTAAGGGTGAAAAATCTGAATTCCCACAAAGATACAGTAAGAGATACAGATATGATTCAGAAATTCAGACTCAGGAAAGTCTATTCTTCAAAGACATGTTACATTTTTATCATTCCTACATTTAAGAGAGGAAAGAAACATTTATAAGAATAAAAAGCATGCTGAAAGTCAAATCCTGCTTGCTGTTGACAAGTCAGGAAACGTATAACGCACAAATTGAATGAAAATTGATCAAAGTTTGCTGGCTATCATTCTGCTACCCAGAAGCCTCTGAACTTAGCAAAGGCTGTGGGTTTTTGCTAAAAAAAAAGAAGTAGAAATGAAACCCTAATTAAACAAATTAACAGTCCCACTCTTCTATTTAAAAATTAAACATTTAGGTTTTATGTTAGTGCCTAAATAACACTGGCTTACAGATTCTGCTGATTACAGGTTAGAAGATGATGGTAGGTGAAACAGGTGATGTCATCAATTTGCTTTCATGTGAGGGTTTTTTTAACAAACAGAAATTCTTCACTTCCCCAACCAAGACTTTTTATCAAATATTAAAGCCACTAAATTCACATGTAGAAATAGTACTTCAATTTATCCAAGCACCAAACTATCTCCACTTTACAAATTATCAGAGATATCCTCAGGGACCAGACAATTTCAAAAAACAATTTAGAGTATGAATCCTATCCAGTTGTCGGGCAACTAAAAACCAAAGCAGGATCAAAGAAATTCAGTAAATCTTGTCAGGATGAAATGATTTCAAACCTTCTCACTCTTTTCCAGCATGCTTAGTGTTTTCCAGCTCTGTCTGGAACACAGGCAGTGCTGCCTTGGAACAACATATGCACAGTGGCTGCATTCAGTGCAGATAGCTGCCTAAGCCTCTGAAGCATACTATAAGCTTAAAGATGTTCATACTCATGGGAGACAAATAGATTAAATTCATCAGTACAGAGATTCAGAAAGGGATATTACAAGTGATGTTGTTCAACACAAAAGATGAATGAACAACACTGTTCCCAGTCAATCCAAGATGAATGCCACTGCTATTAATCATATTATTACCGGCTCTCAAACAGCACTATCACGCTCATCATTTTTATAGATGAAAACCAGTACGTGAATCTCTTACAGCACTAAAGGTGATCAAAGCCATACAAAAAACAGGAGTGGGGGGAAGCAGGCTAAAGCCTCATTCAGTGAGAATTATCACAATACCATCACCTACCAATTAAAAACATCAACATGCTAGAATAAACAATACCAAAAGGATGTGACACATGGCTTCCAAACTGACTGGTGCCCCCCCTGCAATCACCAAACCCATAGATGTCTGTGAATTCTGGTTTATTGGCTTAACACGTAGCATTAACTTCAGCTAGTTAACAAATCCGGTTCCAGTACGCAAGCACTTTGTTTTGTTTTGGTAAGGAAACCACTGAACCTTCAATTACAAAACAGCTGCACCTATAAAGTTTGATCACTTGTTTTATTGCTGGTTGACCACCATCCTCACACAGTAGATCTTTATGGCATAATTTGAGGAGGAAGTGAATGGGAAACCACTTCATTGCCACTCACCAGAACCGCCCCTCTCGCTTCCACTGATAAAGCTAACGGCAGGGAACCTTCTATGCTCTCTGTACATGTTTTAGTAATGGGAAGAATATGCTTACAGTCCAACCTATGGCTTCTAAACATCTAATTTTAACTAACGTCCAAATTACTCTGCCTTTCTCCCTTAAGCTGTAGCACTAAAAATAGATAGAAACCAGGCACAGAGCTTTAGCTAACAATAAAAGTCTTTTTGTTATTCAAGGAAAAGTAGGAAGGAAGGAATCAAAAGTAAAAAGCAGACTGGAACCTTACAAATAACCCTTTACAAGGACTCAATCATACAGTCCTAAAGTAACACACTACAAGTCTCACTGCTCAAACATTGAGCCCACCTGTATTAACAAAGATGAAAGTGAAATGAACATTTATATTAGACTATAACTACATTGCAAATTTTTCAGAGAGTAAACAAGGACACACATAAAACAAACTTACTGGAATATGTGGCAAAGTGATTGTTACGTCTTCTCCTTTACCCACGTGGAGGTCCCCTTCACAAGCTGTATCAAGCGATGCTGGCTTAAAATCATCTAAAGAGGAAAACAATTGCAATTACATTTCTTAGTCTTCAGAAGTGTCATCTTGCCCTGGAAAGTCACTGCATGTTTATTGTGATTATAGGGAATGCTAAAATACACACTAGTGTTTACAGCAGGGGTGGAATAATGCACCAGTACAATGTGTCTATGCTCAGCACCCCAGTCATATGATGGCAACAGATTCTAAACTTCCTTTTTAACTTGATGTAAGGTTCTAGACCTTATATTCGAAGACCAAAAGCAGATTTCTCCAAACCCCAGGCTTTGAGCGATACTTAATTTTGCAGGCAAGTGTAAAACTGTACCATGCATCTCAAAAGAGTATCAACTTCAAGACTCGGGGCTCTGTGTGGCTCCTGCCAATTCCGAACCTGGGGACTCTCTGTGACAAAGACTAATTTAGTGACACCAACTAGTTTAGCCTTACTGCTATTTCTGGCTATTTAACAGCCATCTTGCCTCCACAACACCTCCTCAAGGGTAAAAGAGACCTCGGATCCCACCTCTGAGGAAAAAGGAGGTGCTGATCTTATTTCAGCAGGCTCCACGCTAGTCCAGTGCCACTGTGGATGGAAAGTATGACTAAGGTGAGGCACTGTAACAGCTTTAAACTAACCTTAGTTTTAAGTATTTTTGCTGCATTGTATAGAATGCTTTGTCCCCCAAACAAGGCACTTCTGTTTAGTGTGTTTATTTGAACTAAGAACATTTATTTTAACTTAAAAGTATTTTCCCCTCATTATTCTGTTGTGCTCATGACCCATATAAAACCAGAAAAAACTATCAGAACCTGTAATATTTTGACAGAGGATTTAGACAAAGTGAAATAAGATCAGACAGATATATGTTGGTTTGCTTTGTTTCTAAAATAAGCCTGTGTTCAATTCTGGCATCTCTGGATATGAAAAGATGCAATTATATTCATGATCAAGGCTCTTAATTACTACATTAGTTGAGAAATTAATATCTCAGAACAAATTTAAAATATAATTCCACTATGAAAAGCACATTTGCAGAAAAGAACCCAAAACCCCTGCTTGTAATAAATTTTCATTAGGAGGATGTTAATGTCTAATTGAGTTTTAGTTTGACAGCACAACAAGCAGAGTCAGGCACACTTGACTTAATCCTCATGCCTTAACTGCCAGACCAAATCATACCCTTCATTTTCATCTGAGCAATCTATTTCTAGCTATTGTTTCCCACCTACTTTATGTGCAAGCTTGCTAAATAAAACAAACCAGCTGTACAAGAGCTATAGCCTTTGCCAAAAAAGGGATCGAGATTTTCAACAGCACAGTCACTAAATTAAAAGGAATATTACCATCACACTTCTTTCTTGGGTATCAGCAAAATATAGTTACTCTAAACAAACACTCAGCAAATTGTTTTCATTTGGTTAGCTTACTAGGTGTATGAGCTTGGCTAATCTTGCTGTAGATCAAGTGCACATATGTCCCTCCAAGTGTACCCACAGTCCTTTTTCCAAAAGTCAGATGTTTTTAAGATGTGTTTTCCTGGGATAATCCAGTTTTTTAGTCCAGTATTTCATAAACATTACGAAAAGGAATGAAGTATTTTAAGAAGGCCAAAACAAATTTAGCCTACAAAATCCTCTTATTGTAGTCTGTGTGAAGAGGATTACGGGAACAATATAAAGCTTGGATCCCAGATAAATCACTCCAGATCAACAGTTAGAAAAAAAAGTTATAACCAGGAAATGGAGAGATCGCACTTCAAAGTCATGGATGGAAAATACAGCACACAGAAAGCTCTTTTGAAATAAAACTGCATTCTTCCAGTTGTAGTCTCAAGAGCTTTGCCTTTGCAATCCCTTAAGAAATTGATTATTGAAGCACTTTCAATTCTAGAAACCCAGTGTATTTTTATCTGGATATAGCCTTAGTTTAATTCACACACTATTAGACAACAACCTCATTCATTTGATAGTTGGGCTATTTTAATTTATAAATGGAGATTTGCTAGTATGTTAGTGTTGGATAAAACTGTTCAGTGTTCTGTACAAACAGTTCAATGTACCAAACATATGGTATGGTATTTTTTTGCATGGTGGAATTACGTATAACCAGAGGGGTGAAACATACAAAATGTAAGTGTTGATCCACTAGACAGTTTACTGTTGAGCAAAATAGCTTTGCCTCAATCATTGACCATCTGCTTGAGTAACAGCTCAATCTAGAAAGCCGCTCTTTCAAGTCACACTCGGGTGACTAATATCACTGAAATTACTTACTCCTAGCATATGAGTACGGGCCATGAGCCTGGGCCTAGGATTATGCATTATAAAACAAAGAATCCTGCTGTTAACCATACAAATTCCCCACCTTCATACAAAGCTACTGAAATATGAGTTTAGTATCACTTTCATTTACGGTTGATTTACTACTCATTTTAAATCCTAGACTCTCTGAAAGGAAGAAAAAGCAGTTTCAAGAATTCAAGTACAGAGATACTGCGAGCTCCTCTTCAAAACAATCTTCTAATATGAAATACAAATGTACTCAATGCTAAGTAAAGCAGTTGGAATAATAACTGGTGTCTTTAAAAAAAACCTAGATAATACTTCCAATTATTCAAAAGCTTCATAACTGCTCAAGACCCTACCTCAAGACTTATCTTAACACTTATTAGGCAGCACTGTATGTGTCTGAATCATTTCTGCTTGCTTTCCTGGGAAGTGATTTATTACAGCTGGCTGGAGCTGGGATAGCCAGGGACAGGTCTGCTGGGCTACACGTTGCCTCATCTCGAAAAAAGCCAGTTAAAAAAATCAGACCCGCCGCACTCCTCTCCAGGCACTCCCGCCACCTGTCCTGCAACTGCCATAAAAAAATAACATAAAATAAAATGGCAACATCCCCCCCCGGCTCACGGAGGGGATCGCTTTATACTCCTAAGCGATCCACGCACGCTTCATGAAAAACTTCCTAAGCTGTTCGTCCTGCCTCGCTCAAACCTCCTCCCTACCAGCGCCCTCGGCCAGCATCCACCTTCCCCTTCTCCCCTCAGGCTGCCCACCGGGGTGGGACGCTTCTGTGGGGAAAACACTCGTGGGGGGGGGTGTCGCGGAGGGAAGACGGGCGCTGAGGGAGCGGGAAAGGGGGCAGACGGGCGCTGAGGGAGCGGGAAAGGGGGCAGACGGGCGCTGAGGGAGCGGGAAAGGGGGCAGACGGGCGCTGAGGGAGCGAGGAAGGGGGCAGACGGGCGCTGAGGGAGCGGGAAAGGGGGCAGACGGGCGCTGAGGGAGCGAGGAAGGGGGCAGACGGGCGCTGAGGGAGCGGGAAAGGGGGCACACGGACGCTGAGGGCCGGCGGGGAGTAAGAAACCGCGGCGGGACCGCGGGAGGAAACCTTGGTGAGGGTGGCGGGGCGCCGGGCAGGCACTGCTGCCCACCCCCCGCCCCGGGGCCGGCCGGCGGGAGTCGGGGTCGCCCTCAGGAGCGGTGGGTGCGGCAGGACGGGAAGCGCCGGCGGGGGGGGACGGGACGCGCGGAGCGGGAGGAGGAGGGGAAGGAAGGGGCAGCTGCGGCGGGGCCCGCCGGGAGGGCGAGGCGGGTGGCACTCACAGCGGATGGTGTGGAAGAAGGCCTTGGGCCGCCGCTCGAAGCTCTCGCCCAGCTGCAGCGAGTGCTCCTCCTTATCCAGCACCGAGTTCGCCGAGCCGTTCATGTCCCCGGTCCCGGCCCGTCCCCTCCCCTCCCGGCCCGGCCAGTCCCTTCCTCTCCTCCGTGCGCTGCCGCCCGGCGCCCTTCCGGGGACCGAGTGCAGCCGGGAAACTGCTCCGGAGGCGGCGGCAGGTACGGCGGGGCGGGGGCGCTGGGCCGAGCCGGGGCTGCTCTCCCCGCGGAGGGGGCGCGGAGCTGCGGAGCGGCGTCCCGCGGAGGAGGGGAGGGAGCCCGGCGCTCCCCGCCCTCGGCGGGGCAGGGGCAGGGGCAGGGGCAGGGCAGGAGGGGCCCTCCCGGCCGCGGCGCTCAGCGCGGCGGTGGCGGCCCCGCTGAGGGAGCAGCGGTGGGCGGGAAACCGGTTTCTCTGGGCGGGGGGGGACGACGGATGGGACCGGGGCCTGGCACAGAGGGTTTATCGCTTTACGGTTTGAGGCCTGGATTAAACACGGCTAAAAGACTCTTCAGCCTCAAACGCGGGCTGTTAAAACCGTGTTTGTCATCGTGGTAACTTCCCGCCACAGCTTTTTATGAGTGCAAATGGGTCAGTGAAAGGTCTAGCTTGGATTTTTTTTTTTTTTCCTAGCTCTATGAAGAAATCTAAACGTTGATTTCTTTGTAGCGTGCTAGGTATAGATTAGAAATTTCGGTGATTAAGCTTTTTTTTCTGAGGATATACTCTTTTTGAGGAGGCTTTCAAGGGAATCTCTTCTCTAACCTTTTGCGCTGTTTCTGAAGGAAAAAGGGGGTGTTTGATTCCTGTGAAGCTGGACAAAATGTTGTCAGTTCTTCATTTACACATGTTTGTATTTTATCTTTGTGTTTGTATCATGCAAGATAAGATCTGTAAGTGAAGTACTACTCTTCTTTTACTATAGGGTGGGTATTATTGGGTTTTTCTCGTTTATATGTTGGTAATATGACACCAATGCACAAAATATGACATATTTTGGCTACCCGGGTTTCCCTGGGAGGTACTGGGCCATGCAGGATTTAATTCACATGTGCTCTCATCCAGGATCAGGATGTTTGTGGCAAGGCAGGAGTCAGAACTAGTTTGACATCAGAGAAAAGATTTTAATCCCTTCCCAGCCTACACAGTACTCTTTTCGTTGCTCCGTTTTTGTTAGTTTCTGAAAATAAAACTACCTGTGATTGTTAAAACTAGCATGGATACTCAGGAGGAGGCGGTGGAAGGACTGCTGACACAGGCTGCCTGTGGGCATTTTGGCCACAGTACTGGTTTTGCGGTCTTGTTCGAGTGACGTGGTGTTATAAATGCTGATGTTTTCACCACTGTTTTCCCACAGAGGTGAAAGCAGGAAGGAGAAATGCTAACATGAATACAGTTTGTTTCATCAGTTTTAATGGGACTTTTAAACGTCACCTGTTTTTCAGTTACAATTTTTGTGAGGTATTCTAACTGGGCTTAACAAGAAACAAAGCCCTTGCTTTCCTTTTAAAGTCAGTTTTAGTGAAAATAAGCTTAGAGCTGTACCATCTTTCTCTTGTTGGGTATCCTTCTTGGATGCAGAGGGAAGACCATCAGAGTCTGTTAAGTATCTTCTTTAACTTTGACATCAGTGTGATTTCGTGTGCAGCTGTTAGTTTGAATAAAGGATTTTTGAAGAGGAATCTGGTGGCATTGCAGTCCCATCAGGTAGGACAAATCACTGTAAAATTGTAGTAAGTATACACTGTAACTCCTTCTCATTTTTTTTCTGCTTTTAGATCCTTGGTTATTTTACCTAAGTTAAATGATGGAAACATACACTAAAGAAAAAAAAAATCACCTTCAGGTCTTTGACATTCATATTGTGTGAAAGAATCTAGGATGTTCCAAGAAAAGACATCAGCCAATTGTTTAAATATAATAACATCTACCGAAGATGGTGCTTTCCAAAAAAAAGGCCATAGTGCAAGAATCCTTAGCCCAGAAGAAGCTGAGAGACTGGCAAAAGATCAGGTTTTGGTGTCTGAGTTCAAACAACTAAAACTGGAGAAAGAGGCACAGAAGAACTGGGATCTGTTTTACAAAAGAAATAGCACCAACTTCTTCAAAGACAGACATTGGACAACCAGAGAGTTTCAAGAGTTAAAAGCATGTCGGGAGGTGAGACCTGTACACTTTCTCTGTAAAAGATGGGATTGTTTCCAAATGATGTAATAATACTTACAACAAAGCCGTTAGGGTAAGAGCTGTCACATGTTAAGTTTGCGGTGTCCTGTGTAGTTTCTCATAATATCAAGATACCTCCTCAGAATCAGATGCATCAGTTCAGTTTCAGTTTATAATTGACCCATACTGGATACTAAGAATGAAATCTGTAATATTTACTTTGTGTCCTAAATAGACAACTTGCCTCTCTGTGATCTGATGTTTTCAGATGCAAGTTGGTGTACTTCAGAACACTACATTAAAGCATCCAGAATTACAGGCTAATAGCAAAACATCATCAAGGAGAATATCCAGATGCATCTTGTTGTTCATTATAGCTGCATGAAAGATAAGACAGAAATGGTATAACAATCTGTTGATTAGTTAAGGGGTAGATGACTAAAGAAATGTTAATATATTCTAAAAAGATTTAAAATTTTGCAGGAATCAAGATTTGCTTTGTAGTGTCAGATTATTCAATAGATGCCTACTTTGGGTTTTGAGTCAATGGTAAATAAAATTGATTATAGCTTATAAAAAGCTGATTGAACAGTATGTCTGCTTAGATCGTGAGGAAAACAAAAATGATGTGCTTTATCTTGTATTTCTTCCTCCTCAGTTTGCAGATCAGAAACTGACCATTCTGGAAGCAGGCTGTGGGGTTGGGAACTGCTTGTTTCCACTCTTAGAAGACGATCTGAATATTTTTGCATATGCCTGTGATTTCTCTCCTAGAGCTGTTGAGTATGTGAAGGTTGGTGTGATATTTGGAACTTCTTTTAGAGTGTCTTTAGAAGCTTCTAAAATTACAAATGACTGGAACAACAGACTTCTCTTACCTTCCTTTTTGTAAGAAGGGTAGAATAGCTTTTGCCAAAAAATGGAGACTGATCCATTTCAGTGGAGCTCCTATGCAAGAAACCCAGTCATTGCTCAGGACCTCGTTTTTCAGCATCAAATTGTAGCTTTATGGTAACATATGTGTATTACTTAAATGATCTGTGAAGCCTGTGTTTTTGGGGAGCACTACTCTGTCTTTGCTGACTGTGGAGTACAATTTGTTTGGGATGGAAGCTTGCCCTCAATATTTGTGGGGCAGAGGGAGTCCCAAGATGGCTCTTGAAAACAGGGCTATGAAAATGATTGTTAAGGAAATTTGTAGCCTGATTAGAGATAGATATGTTTATACTTACTCATAAGTAGGTGGTACTGCAGTCTGAATTTAAGTGTTCCAGAAGACCTGGTGGTGGAGACTTTGGGCTTTAAAAGTCTCCTGGTTTATTAAGTTTGTAATCACAGGTAAATTTCTATTTATCTGTTATTTGGAAGCATTCTCTTGTGGGACATTTGAGACTGAGAACCACAAGATACTGCATATCTCATGGGAAAGATGGGAAGAAAGATGTATGGCAGACAGGAGAGGGGACAGCGGCTCCCTGGGATGCCACGACTGCACTGCAAGATGAGATTGGGCTGCATGTGTACCCAGGGTTTTGGATGACTTAGTGATGTCTGTCTCCACAGTTCTTGCTGAACTTCTTTCTTGCCAAGACCAGGTTTCCTTTTACACAGTAAAACCATGGGCTAGAACAGCCCTGCTGCAGGTTACGTGACATGAACCCAAACTGCTTACAGTCTACTTCTAGCTCAAGAGCTGTACTTTGACCACCATGTGATACAGAATTTCTTTTGATAATATTTGTGTATTCTTAAAGAGTAGAAGCAGCAGTAAACCAGAAATGGTATGTTTTCTGAACTGTCTTAACATACATTCCTTCTCAAATTCCTGAGAACATGCTATTCTAGTAGTTGTAGTTTCATTCTTGTGATATGCAGCAAAGAATTTCTGATTGCATTAGTCACCTGTTGGAAGTTAATGTTCTTTTGGCACCATGTTTTGTGTCACTCTACTGACAGTTTCACAAGTTTTTTACTTTTTTGCAATAACAAATGCTAATTTTCAGTGAAAGCATACTCTTTTAATTTCCCTAGAAAAATGCCTTGTACAGTACTGAAAGATGTAAAGTGTTCCAGTGTGATCTTACCAAAGATGATCTTCTAGAAAATATACCAGCAGATTCTGTGGATGTTGTCACACTTATATTTGTGCTTTCTGCCATTCACCCTGACAAAATGCATCTTGTCTTGAAGAACATTTACAAGGTAAATCCAGCAGATTTTACAGTCTCTAAAGCACTTTCCTTCTTTTTAGCTTGAAAGTATGATTTTTTTCTGAGAAAATAACCCCTCTTGTAGTGGTGATCCTTAATACTATATTCCATAGATGTATTTAGTTAGTTCACGTAGTATACCGCACTAAAATATGTTTTTCAATTTTTTTTTCTCTCGATATCGTGAGTGGGTTTGGATTCTGACCTAACGGATACCATCATCATAATGAAAAGGTGTTTTGATCCTGTGACTTGGCTCCTAGGTTGTATGTTACAAATAATGTTTATGGACTGCAGAAATGTCTGTGTTGATAAGGTGTGAATGACAGTGAACCAAAAGGGACTTCCAGAAGATACAGTGACTTGCAGTTAGGATGTTTTTGTTCTTCTTAAACACCCTTGATCTGTGGTGATTTAGAAGTGGGTGTTCAGGGATCAGCATTACTCTAGAGACACTCATCTCCCTGGGCTGCCTTTGTTAGTTGATGGACTAGGATGGGCCCAGAGGGTGGTTTAAACAGACTGAATTGTGATCCTTCTGAATTTCCCTGAGATGTCATATATTGACTGCAGAGGGAAATAGTCAACATATTTTTTATTTACGCATATGTGTGTATTTGGGGTTTTATTTTATCAGATATCCTGCTTGTTTTATCATCAGTAGTTTGAAAAGGGAATGTTACATTTTTCTGGTGTATCTCCAGCTGTTTTCCAAAATCGGGATTGGTTCTTAGGTTGTGCACATGAAAAGGCTAATTATTGTTTTCTCTG